AATGAAGCAGGTTTCTCTTCTTCAACACAACTTAGTTGGACCATGGGAAGAGGAGAGTTGGGACTGGATGGATGCTCTTGGGGTACAGAGGCTGCCTACGAGAAAGAGTCTTGGCAATGGCAAAAGGCCTTAGCCTTCTGGTACAAGAACAGCTGTTGGGAATACAGAACACCTGAAAAGGACTTAGCTATCTGCTGTATTTGCTTGGAAGTTTGTTTTAAAACAGGTCTTATGTAGCCCAGGCAGATCTCGAGCTCACTATGTAACAGAGGATGATCTTGAACTCCTGACCTTACTGCCTCCAACTTCCAAGTGTAAGGTATGTACCACCATGCCCGGTCCATGCAGTACTAGAGGTCAACCCCAAGGCCTTGTTCATGCTAGACACTCTACTATCAAGGGTTAGTTCACAATGTGTCTGCTCCATGACCCTTTTCAGTACTGACCTGGTATATTGTTAGCCTTTCATCACTGACAAATGCCTGACAGGACAAGGTAACAGGATAAAGATTTCCTTTCCATTAGGGTTTCAGGGTTTCAGTCCATAGTCATCCATTTCATGACTTAGTCCTGCAGACAGGACAGCTGAGCAGAGCAAAGTCGTTCACCTCATGAACACCAGTAAGCAGAGAGAGAACAGATCTGTGTGTTCTCCGTCTTGCCTTTTTATCCCCTTCTGGGTTCTCAGACTACTGTATGACACAAGCAGCAGTCAGAGTAGCTGCTTCCCACTTAATCATCTCTAGAAATACCCTCACAAGCACAGCAGAAATGTCCTTTACAAATGTCCTCAGTGTTTCTCAGTCCAAATTGACAACCAAGATTAACTAGCACAAGTCCACCCTCTGTCAAACACACCTCCTTAACCACATCTCCTAAAACCATACCTAATTTCCAAAGGTAGCTACAACGGCATACATTAATTCATAAAACATGACAGAATCATCCTGTGTGTACCCCAAAATAGTTTAGTTTCCCCCAAAGTCTCAATAGCTCTAGCATTGCTCAAGCGACAAGTACAAACTTTCCTAAGACTCAAGGCAAGTTCTCACCTGTGAGCCCCTGTAAGACCACAAAGAAAGTTTTGCATTTCCTAAGTACAAGGCAGAGTAAAAGACTTCTATTCCAAAAGGGGCATGGGAAAAGGTGGGCAGATACCAAAGCCAGATGGGAATCAACTTGGCAATTATAAGCTCCTGTAGCTCAACGGCTGGCATCCCAGACTAGTGCCGTGATCTGGATGCCAAAAGGCTGGGGCAGCCCAGCCCCTACATTTTGCCACTGCAGCCACTGGCTCTTCCCGACTGACCCTACTCACTGTCTAGAGCTTTCCTTGGCAGACAGTCTACATTCCTAGCATTTTCAGCTTCTTGAGGTCTCTATTCCTTCACAGCTTCATCTATTGCTCTCTCAAGGGCTACAATATCCAAGTACTCGTACCACACTCATACATCATCTGGCCTCCCTAACATTCCTTGGAAATCTGAGTAGAAGCCTCTATGACCTTCCTTACCAAAACAACATCAGACTGAAGACAGCAAGGTCTGCCACTAGCTTAAGCCAGTTCCCAGTGTAGACAAATTCACGTAATATTCTCTAGTCCAGTTTTCAACACTCCTGAGCACAGTCTTTACTTTTTGTGTATCTAAAGCCATTCTGGTCTTCTGAGCTCCTCCACCAGAATCACCCATAGCTCTGCTTACAATATGTTAAGCTGTGCTGACCTATGAGTGTCTGGGTAACGGAGCAAGACTGGAGGAATCCAGGTAGGGCATGACTGTATTGCATCTTGCTAGGTCAGTTCTTGCCTAACATGTACAAAGAGACCAAGGTTTGATCTCTAATATCAAACAAACAAACTTGGGGGACAATTCCCTAAGTCCTCTTGCAAAAGGGTACCTCTGCAGGTAGATCTTTTAACTCATTTTTTCCGTGAACTTAAAACACTCTTCTTTTTTTTTTTTTTTTTTTTTTTGAGACAGGGTCTCTCTACATAGCTCCAACTGTCTTGGAATTCACTATGTAGACCAGCCTGGCCCCAAATTCACAGAGTTGCCCTGCCTCAGCTTCCCTAGTGGCGGGATTAACACCAGATTATACTCCTGACTATAGGATGAGTGGGCTTTCCCTGATCACTGAGCTGCCCTCAAGGCATCTTATCTAGTGACCTGGTTCTAATCTCTAATGATTATCCATTTCATTTACTAGTCCCAACTTTAAATGTGGCCTTTTTAAAACTAGTTTTATTTTAAATCTTCCTACCATGCTTTTTTTTCCTCTAAATGTTCACTGTAAGTCTGGCTAAAAGGATTTTTTTTTACACAGCAAAAGCCCTGTAGTAGCCCAAATTCTGGACTACCTTAAAATTTCCTTTTCCATGGGGATTGGAAAGATGGTAAGAACCGCGGGCCACAAAGTCCACTGTGAAACTGTCTTCTGAATATGACAGGGAAGCTATACCATCGAATTGTCTACAATATGGCTGCCTGAACAACACCTGAACAAGTCCAACACCAATTGGCATACTAATGTGAATGAGAACAGCTCACAGGGCCCAACCCTAGATGAAGAAATACAAGCAACTCACAAGTGCTAAGAGAGGGAAGAGGCCCCTAATTGACTCTCCAATACCAAGTGGTCAGTCCTAGAATCATATGATATAAGCAACATTCAACAGACTAAGCAAGTTGCATTTATAAATTTATAAAATGTGTGTGTGTGTATATAACAGTGATAATAAAAAAAACAGGCTATGAATTTGAGAGGAAGCAGGGATTGGGAGACATGAGAAGAGTAAAAAGAAAAGGAGGAAGAGAGATTACACAATATTTTAATTAAAAATAAATTTTTTCTTTCAGATTACTCAGCCAGTCACCTTTGAGCTCAGCTCCCATAAAGTCTTATAGCACAGACACAAGTAGACAAATTCTTTGTCATAATGGAACATGAATGGAACAGGTCTCTAGATTCCCAGTAGAATCCTTGATCCCATCTGAAATCTCTACTCTGCATTTCCAGTCTTCTGAGCGCACCCCACAATCCTCACCAAGCTCTACTCACAGTATTTTTTTTAATTCCAGCTTATATGTCCAGTTTTCCATATTCCTCCTACAAACTAGTTACAAACCACATGGCCAGGTTTAATCACAGCACTGGCCCTGCTCCCAGCACCGATACTCTGTGTAAAGCACAGTATTTCTATTGCTATGACAAATGCCTGAGAGGAAAAAAATCAAAAGGAGGAAAAATTCATTTTGACTCACAATTTCAGCACATGGTCACCTGGCTCACTGTGGCTGTCCTGGAACTCATTATGTGGGCCAGGCTGGCCTCAAACTCACAAGAGATCTGTCTGCTCCTGCCTTCCAAGTTCTGGGATTAAAGTGTTTTAAATGTCTATCAACTCCTTCTTGCCTACTGGTCAACTTCTAGGCCATAAAATGTTTAGTATGACACTAACCAGACTGCCTTGCAATTTATCACCTGGTCTTAATAGACTGGCAAAACTAAAACTTGAACTTTGTGTTGTTGGATCTAATGCAGGCTTACAAAGAAACTCTTTCCTACCACATTCTGGTTGCTCAGTATTAAAATACAAGCCAACTCTCCCAGTTTTCAAAAACCTCTACTACAGCCACAAACATTCTGAATTCCTTAACATTCATTAGCACACGGGCAATATGACCTTGAATCAGCTATTCAAACTCTTGTACAATAGTAATACCCATTGATATGCCTGGGATAAGAGAAGCACATGGGACACAATGACTGTGTACCTCCTAGGAGACAGCAAATATCCAAAACATACTAGCTGTCATTGTTCAGCACTACTATTGCTTTATTATTTTATAATACAAAGATATGAAAGCCCAAAGTTTTATAAGTGGCAGCATAGAACTAGTTTGATAGGAGATGAAATAATGTATACTATCCAATTGTAAAAAGTGTCTCCAAAAATATAGTAGGTGCTAGAGCAGTGGCTTGGCAGTTAAAAACACTTGCTGCTCTCACAGAGGACCTTGGTTCAGTTTCAGCACCCACAGTACAGCTTATGGTGGTCTGTAACTCCAGTTCCAGAGGATCTAGCACCCTCTAGCCTCTAGAGAAACCAGTCCCACACTTGCTACAGAGACATACATGTAGCCAAAACTATTTATACACATAAAGTAATTTATTTTAAAAAGTCTTCTCCAATAGTAAAATAAAATATAATTAGTTTTTCCTAAATATCACTATCAATCATACCTAAATTAATTAGAAATACTTCTAACTTAATATATCTATCTCCAACTGTAAGTAAACATATATACAATATTTTCTCCCACAGTCTTACTATATTATAAGCATGTACATTAAGCAGACTTTTTAGTTTTGTTTTGTTTGAGACAGAGTCTTCCTATGTAGTCCTAGTTGCCCTGAAACTCACTATGTAGGCCAGACTGACCTCAAACTCAGAGATCCACCTGCCCTCTGCCTCTGAGTGCTGAGATTAAAGGCGTGTCCCATCATGTCCAGCTGAAGAAGACTTTTAAATACAAAAATTAAAAGGAAGCCAGTGAAATGCTCAGTGGGCAAATAAATGCCAGAACCCACATGGGAAGAAGAGAACCAACTCCCACAAGTTTTCCTCTGACCTCCAAAATGAAACATACACAAGCCTGCATATATACACATGTGCTTTCTCTCTCTCTCTCTCTCTCTCTCTCTCTCTCTCTCTCTCTCTCTCTCTCTCTCTCTCTCTCTCTCTCGCATACACTCACTCTAAATGTACAAAAAATATTTAATTAAAAGGAAGCGAATAATCTACATGTTAAATGGTTATAAACTCTGTTAACAGTTCACCTACCTTCCAATCTACTTAAAATACACACATTTGAATCGACAATCTCCTGAGGGTTAACAGAGGAAATGTGAGACTAGCTGTTCCTTCTGAACAAAGGCAGCAAACCAACAGCACCTTGTGGACCCAGCCACCTGCAGAGCCTCGTGTAAGTGCCTACCTTCTTCTCCCTCCCGCTGTCTGCCTGTACAGTTTCTAGCCGGGCTTTGAAGTGTTCACAGTCCAATCTCAGCTGCTCTAATTCTTGTTCTTTCCTTTCCAGGTCTAGAAGAGACAGAAAAAAAACTCAAGACATGTCAAATCACATTCTGCACTCTTACAGCCCTGTTTCTGAGCTCTCTTCCAGTTTTCAAGCCATACCAGAAGTCGGTTTTGAATTGCAGGGGTGGGGGTGGGCAGATGCTGAGGAGGGAATACGGGGCCCACGCACACTATGATACTAAGCTGCCTCCAGCCCTGCCTCTGCTGTTATCTTACTTTGTGATTTTAAGACCTCATGTACTGCCAGACAAGTACTCAAGGCTTCAAGAAAATGAGTTATTTAAAGGACTGGAGGCAGAGCTGAGAAGCCCGACTCTCTCATGGCGCAAACGTGTATCTGTGCCATAAAAAGCAGAAGGCATCTCATGAGTGGCGGTGCCAGCAGGAGCTGACTCACAAAGCAAGTCCCACCAACTGGCAGACTGACTCAATGGGAACAACTGCAGTAGTAGTCAATGGAGGCGGGAAGCAACAGAACAAGACAAGAAAACGCTACAGTGAGGGGGTAGTAACTACGTAACACTTCCTCTCCGCCATAATCATTCAACTTATGAGTCAAATGGCCAACAAAAAAACCAAAAGACACCCACATCAATAACTCAGTGAAAAATATTATTAACTTTAAATACAGTCATACTGCAGAAATACTAATGTTCAAAGATTTTGGACACTTAATTCAAATTTTTAAGAGTTTTGTTTCAAGGCTAAGAAATTAAACTTGACCAACATGTACCAAGATGGCAGACTAAAACCTGATGTGCATCAAGATGCCAGGGGACTTGGATCTAGTGCTCACAGCTTGTGGTCCATGGGTATGGGTGGGTCTCGGGAACCGCGTTTCTCTTCTGAGATTTTCTCTATTAATGATTGTATGAATATCTGTAATATATGTTGCTCATTTCCACCCCCATTATCCTCCTGATGACCACCTGATTGCCAAGAAGTCTCTGCCTGCTTTGTTGCTGTTGTGTTTGTGTGGGTGAGTGAGAGAGAGACAGAGACAGAGACAGAGAGACCTTCTGAGTTTAATTAATGTTGCATGAACATGGAGCATGGGCAACTTACTAGTGACTACACCACTGAAGAAAATTACTCCCCTTTTCCCTGCAACCAATCACTGCCAAAAGCTCCTCAGGGAGAGGTAAAGAGAATTTACATTTCTTTGCTTTTCTTTTTTTTTAAGATTTATATGTGGGGAGAAATGGCTCAGAGGTTAAGAGTGCTGGCTGCTCTTCCAGAAGTCCTGAGTTCAACTCCCAGCAACCACATGGTGGCTCATAGCCATTGGTAATGAGATCTGGTGACCTCTTCTGGCCCGCAGGTGTACATGCAGGCAGAACACTGTATACATAATAAATAAATAAATCTTTAAAAAAAAAAAGACTTATATGTGGGGAAAGATGGCTCAGTGGTTAAGAACACTGGCTGCTTTTGCAAGTTTTGTTCCCATCAATCATCCACATGGCAGCTTACAGCTGCCTGGAACTCTGACTCCTCTTTCTGGCCTCCTCGGCACCAAGCATGAACATGGTACACAGACATACATGCAGGTACTCACACATCCACAGAAAAAGTAAACGAATCTTAAAAAAAACTACTTCAAGTCAACAGCCTCGGCTCTCACCCCCAGCAACAGCAAAGGAGCACATGGGCGGGAGCTCAGCTACAGCAATGGGAGAGCATGGATGAGGGCAGTGGGACCAGGTAATGGAGACTGCGTCTAAGAATATATGGATGACCACACACTCTCCACCCCCAAGGAGAAAAGGGTTACCCGCTGATGCTCAGAGAAGTGCAGGTCAAGGAAGGTCTGGACCTGCTCCAGAGGTCTGAGAAGGCAAGGGGACAGTTGCACAAAGAAAAAAAACCCTCAGGGACTGCCTAGAGCTGCTTGGCATCCCAAGTGTTTTGGAGAAAGAAACATTTCCTTGAGACCCTGTCCAAGAAGGAAGGTTAGAACCCAAAGGTCAACAGACAAGTTGGAGATTGTGAAACTGGCTGGCAAGCTCCCACTCGTGTTTCCTAGAAGCACGCATGCTCTGCTGGCTATTTATTCTCCCAGGTCAGAGCTTTCCTCTCTGACTTTTCAGATTCGTCACACTATATGAACTCTACATTGTCCCCGTAGTCATGACCTCCCAAGACACCAATGAGCACTGGGACTTTATGCCTTAAAAATAATATTACTGAGCTGGGAGGTGGTGGCACACACATTTAATCCAGCACTTGGGAGGCAGAAGCAGTTGGATTTCCGTGAGTTCCAGGCCAACCTGGTCTACAAAGTGAGTCCCAGGACAGCCTCCAAAACAATACAGAGAAACCCTCTCTTGAAAAAAAGCAAAAACAAAAAAACAAAAACCCACAAATAAACAAAAAGATTGCTGAATATGTAACCATGCTGAATGTTACTTATACACACATATATGTACATTATAATCATATATAACTATAAAATACATGCCACATAACCAGACAGAAAAAAATAATAAAATTATCAGTACAGGCTTTCATACCAAAGCAACAGGCTTAACAAGGCCCTTGTTACAATATGGAACTCCAGAAAATTCCAAGACACTACTCACAAAGCTATAGCTAGTGTATCAGGTGTATCAGCTGTGTCAGATCGCCGCCTTGTGGTCAGATGGAAGCATTGCTTGCAACCTACCACCAACACCAGGACATGTGATTGTCATGTTTTGTTTTATGCAGCATCCCAAGTGCCTAGGAAAGTGTAGGGAAAGCTGTAGGTACTACCTAAATATTTTTCAAACAATTAATATAATTTCTTTATACATTCTTTGCCTTTATCCTTGGATAGAAAAATATAGCTTTGGTTAAGATAGATCTTCTCCCTTAAGAATACACTGCTTTTAAACTGGGTGGTGGGGTCCATGCCTTTAATCCCAGCACACCCAGAGGGAGAAACAGGAAGATTTCTGTGAGTTCAAGGCCAACCTTATCTACAGAGAAACCTTGTCTCAAAAAAACAAAAGGCAAACAAAAAAACAAGAATAATACTACCTTTAAGTCAGAAGTAATGGCAGCCCACAATTTTAATCGCAGTACTAGGGAGGCAGAGGCAGGTGGATCTCTTAGTTCAAGGCCAGCCTGGTCTACAGAGTGAGTTCCAGGACAGCCAGAAATGCACAGAGAAGCCCTATGGGGGTAATAATACTACCCTTGGTCAGGAGTAGTAGCACACACCTTTAATCCCAGCACTCAGGAGGCAGCCTGGCCTACAGAACAGCTCTAAAACAGCCATAAAAACAAAAACTACATTTCTTTTGCAAATTTTTTAAACCCAGGAACAGAAATAATATACACAATGATTGATACACAAAACAGAGATGGATTACCCCAACTAAACTCTACATGAAAACAGGGAAAAGTCTGCCACCCAACCTTGCTGTTTCCACTGCTTTTTGGTATTCATAACAGAGAAGAATCTCTAGCTACATAAACTGGATGGAGGGCAGCACACTAGACTGACTAGTGATACACAAAAGCCATGTGTGCCACATACCGTTTCAACAGCACTACGTCTTCTGGAACAACTATCTCTATATAGCTCTCTGGCTTTGTTTGTGAATTTAGAGGACAGAGTGTCACAGCATTTTCCAGACTCCAGCTGCCTCAGCCTCCCCAGGACTGGGATTATAGTTATGCATACCACACCTAGCCTGATAGGTTTGAGTTTGGATTTTTTTGTTGTTGGTGATGGTGGTGATGGTGATAGTTAGCTGCTTGGTATCTGTTAGTATTCAGGCATCTGTACTGGCCTGCCCTTGGGGTCCTGACAGGATCCGTGCTCAGCTGCAGCCACTAAGAGCACCACTTGTGCACATTCACTACTTTTCCTTTTAAAGCCACCTCCTCTCTATCCCTCTCCCTCCCACCTTCCCTCCCTTCTTCCCTCCTTTCCTCCCTCCCTCTCCCTCCCTCTCTCTCCCCCCACCACTTCTGTCCCCAGTGACCAGTCTCTGGCCCCTTCTCTTTTTTCAAATAATCCTCCTATGTGAGCCTTGTTGCATGGCATGGCTTTTCTTCACAGTGTTTTTAAATAAATTGCAACAGTATCACTGTGGATTGAACATAAAGTCTTGTGAATGCTTGGTAAACCCTCTATCACTAAGCTATACCACCAGGCCTCTTTTATCATTTTTTAATTATTTCTTTATTTTTTATTTTATGTACACTGGTGTTTTTCCTGCATGTCTGTCTGGTCTTGGAGTTACAGACAGTTGTTAGCTGCCATGTAGGTGCTGGGAATTGAACCTGAGTCCTCTGGGAAAACAGTTAGTGCTCTTAACCACTGAGTCATCTCTCCAGCCCCGTCTCCTTTTATCACTTTTGAGGCAAGGTTGCCCAGGCTGGACTTAAATTTACTCTGTAGTCCTGGCAGGAGTCAAAGTCAGCATCCTCCTGCTACAGCTCTCCCCAAGTAGCTGACAGGGCATGTACCACCAGACCTAGCTTTAACAGTTTAGATGACATGAGAATGACTATCTCTGCATTCAGCCTATTCAGAGAGAGGGAAGAGGGTTACCAATGAAAACCAGGGTATCTGAAACAGATCACCCTGTTACCTGGCATGTTTGTAACAAGTCATGAGTCATTTTCCACTCATGTGAAATGCTTTTTTTATCAAATAGCTGTCTGAAAACAAAAAAAAATACTTTTAAATAACCATTAACTCTTCCCTTCCTCCACTCTGGCAGGTTCACAGAAGACGTGGATGCAATACTAACAGGCTCTGTGTTTACTCTGAGCTGAGATTTGGGTAGTGCATTCAATTCCCAGAACATGGAATAAAGTATGAGCTGGTAGCTTAGAACAGTTGAAATGTATGTCTCACAGGTGCCGGCAGGGCCAAGCTCCCTGTGAGCCCTGACAGGGAGAGCGGATTACCCCTTGCCTCCTGGACTGGGGAAGCACCTCCACCTCCACATGGCTGCTCTTCCCACTGTCTTCCCCTTCCCACCTTCCTATATTTCTCACAGACTTCACTGCACAACTGTGTCCAAAATTTTCCTGACAACGAAGTCGTACTGGACTAGGGCCCAAAAGGCCTCCTTTTTCCTCTGTGAAAACCTTTTTCCAAAGTCCCAGTCTGAGGACCCGGGGGCTAAACTCGCAGGTCTCTTTTCAGGGAAATGCCTGACAGATACTTTTGCAGCTCACCAGGGTTTCAACAGACTGTCAGCCTTTGCAAGGCGCTCTCACTCACGTGGTTTCCCAAGGCAAACGGCCATCCCCAGAGTGATTCTGCACCCTACAAGGTTCCCAGAAATAAGCAGTTGTAGCGGCTCAGGGGCCCCTAAACCAAAGACCCAGATCTGGACCACTGCCTAGTAAAGACTCCCATTCCACAGGGGCTGCTAACTAGCTCAGGCTCACAGACTGACACAGTGGCCCACAGAAGCTCCACCACACAAGCTCATCTGCTCAACACTGCTTTAGTCTAGCCATCCCACTGCTACAGTAGGCAGACTGCACACACACGCACGACCTGCATTTCTCAACACGCTAAACTGAAACCCATCTGCCTACCATGCCAAATGCTGTCCAATCTCTCTTGAACTCTGTCTAAGATGCCTTCAAATGTCTTCTAAGTCCACTCCTTCATAAAGCTGCCTTTGGCTTCCCCCACCTCATCCCCCGGGGACTCTGGTGGCCTTTCTGGTTATGTGGCACCTGTGACATACTTCCCTTTATACTGTCATTGTTTGTGTTCCTTTTCATTTTCCCTCCTGTTCCCTAAGATTACAACTATTTCGTGTACTTGTGGATTCCTTCAAATAACCAGTAGGGGGCGCTTACAAACTGAATCCTCAAGCTCACAAGCTGTTCTGGTAGTACTTAAAAACCCAATCAAATCTCAGCACTCGGGAGGCAGAGGCAGGCGGATCTCTGTGAGTTCAAGACCAGCCTGGTCTACAGGTCAAGTTCCAGGACAGCCTCCAAAACAATACAGAGAAACCCTATCTCGAAGAAACAAAAACAAAAACAAAAACAAAAAAAAACAATCATCTGTCCCATTTCAAATCACAGACTCCTGGATAGAAGGGCAACTGGCACTTCACCCCGCTTCTCATAAGGGTTATCTAGGAATCTCCTTCCTTGCCATGCCATGGGCATCCCTTCCTAAACTGAATATCCAGTTGAAGAAGACAACCTTCCTTCCCTGATTAAGCCAAGAACATACAAGTTGCTGTGCTCCCCTGCTAGAACTACCAAACAAACTCCCTATCCTTTTAGGGCAGAAAAAAACAACTGATAAATCAAAAACTGATCCTTACTCCCAACTGTGACTTTCACACATCTTTTCTTTTCCTACTTAAAAACAAACTGCTTTGAGGGAAGGGGAGAGAATTGGCTCAGTGGTTAAGGTCACTGGCTGCTCTTTCAGAGGACCTGGGGGATCTGGGTTCAATTCCCATCACCCTTATGCAATTCACAGCTGTCTGTAACTCTAGTAACAGAGGATCTAAAACCCTCTTCCAAGTTTCTCAGGCATGGCACACGTGATACACACACATGCATTCAGGCAAAACACTCATACACATAAAATCATAACTTTTGAAAAAATGTGCCTTTTCTTCAGTGTTAACTCTCAAAGATGCTTAGACAGGGCACAACAGTGTTATTCCAAACCACTACTGACCCACCCAGCTTCTCAAAGGAACTGCTGATAGCTCGGGACCAGGTTACTCATCTCACCAACTCAGGCACTCAGAAGCCAAGTGGATTTCTGCGCGTGAAAGACCAACCTGATCCACACAGAGAAAGAATCCCAGGCCAGCCAGAAATACCCCAAGTAAGACCTTGTCTCGAAAAACAAAAGGAAGGAAGGAAGGAAGGAAGGAAGGAAGGAAGGAAGGAAGGAAGGGAATTCAAGAGTAAAAACTAGGTAAAGGGTGCTCTAGAAGACCATCTCTTCAACACGCCTCAGTCAAAAAAGAAAAGGCGGTCAGGGAAGCCTAAGTTGAAATCTGACAGTGACCTCCCAGGAGGAAAAGCACAGGGGCCATGCCTAACACAGAGCTCATGTCCGGACAGTCAGAAGAGACTGCCTCTCTGGATGAGGCTCACCCAGCAATGCAAAGGCTTCACAGCCACAGTAAGGTCTGTTCCGGCTCCGGCACAGCAGCAGTTGGCCAGCTGGTCTTTATCCTAAGGACGAGGGTGGCCTCTTTAACAGCTTAACCTGAGGAGTGGGATGAGAGAGGCAGACAAAAATGGCCCAGGCTTAGCCAGGCAGTGGTGGCGCACACCTTTAATCCCAGCACTCGGGAGGCTGAGGCAGGCAGATCTCTGTGAGTTCGAGGCCGGGCTGGACCGACAGCCTCCCAAACAATACAGAGAAACCCTGTCTCATAAAACCAAAAAAAAAAAATGGCCCAGGCTGGGAATGGTAGACCCTGCCTAGGGAGGCAAGCACAAGGATTCTACCAAAGCAGCAGAGACCAAGACAGGCTGCTGCAGTCACAATGCATCTCCAAGGAAGAATTACAGAATTCACTGGAAAAAGGGAAAATCCAAGGTTTCTGGGTTGTTTTCTGAAGAGACCAAGGCAGCCCAGAGAGAAAAAACACAAGGAAATTGTAAGTCAAACAGAAGAAAGTAAAAATGATCTTGTTAAGTGAAAATATGCCCTGCCATTTGTCAGGCTAGAACAGTGGGCACAGACAGAGCCAACTGCCAATAAACAGAAAACAGTAATGTCTCCCATTAACTGAAAAGTATCACAGCGTTCCTTTCTTGGCCTGACTGCTCACTTCTCATTCATCAAATTTATGTTGAAAAATCCCCCACTTCAGAAGGAAAAAACACACAGGACCTGCCCTGAAGAGTTACAGTGACACAGAGAAACAGCCTGACTTCTCCCCACTAGCCTCAGAGGTGTGGGTAAGGTATGTCTAAACAGTGTTCTACATTTACTGGAACTTCACTGCTTACAGGCAAACAAGACTGAGTCCACCTCACATTCAGACTCTACTTGCCTTTTTACACGCGGCTCCACCTTGACATGAGCTGTCAAAGCATTGCTCGAGCACTTAGGAGGCAGAGACAAGAGTATCTACAGTTTGAGGCCAACCTGGCCTCCACAGAAAATTCAAGGTGAGCCCAGGATATGTAGTGAAGCCATCTCTAGCAAAAAACACTGCTTCATTTCCAAACCACCAAATTCCAACCGTGCAGCCAAGGCCTGATGAGGTGCCTCCCAATTCTTCTAGTATATGGTCACGCATATCTCGATGAGACGTAAACCTGGTCTTGTCAACTGACTAGGTCAGGACACACAGAGTCTGAATGGGAACCGTACAAGTGGGGAAAGGTGACAAGTGAGAGGGGGCACGGCAGCCGCGGAGACACAGATGCATGCAACGGTAACTGAAGCTGTGTGTGAGCACGTGACTGCCGTGGGAGTTCCCTGACAGCAGGCTGAGCTGAGGCTCAAGCACCTGCATTGTCTAAAGACTCTGGAGAAAGGGAAACAGGCAGAGGAGACCAAGAAGACATCACCAGAGGCAGAAAGTGACGGACAGACCAGGAAGGTCAGGAACCACAAACAAGTGTCTCCTGTAGTCTGACTTTTATCAAGTTACCACAGATTCTATGTGGCCCTCGGACTGACTTGGGAAGGAGACTGACCTCAAAACAGCTTCATGAGACCCTAGTGAATTTTGCAGAATACTAGTTCATGGCTTTACAGAGAAACAATCAACCAGTAGGCTAACGCACTATGCTGACAGGCAGCACTTTCCTTTTCTAGAAATAAATGCATAAAAAGACCAACTACCCTCAAAACTTGCCTGCTGAGCACGAGATCAGAACGAAGCAGTTAAGAAGTCAACAGACCGGAACAGGAGGGGCAGAGCCCTCACAGAGAATGGTGACATAGCCAGGGGAAGGCAACGGCTCTGTAGCTCTGGGGGAGAATGGTGTTACAGAAGCCACTAAGAGGCAGGCTGTGGAGAAGGCTGCCAGGCAGGAGCACTTGCTGTGGAGGATGCAACTCCCTGAGTAAGAAGCAGGGGCAGAGGGCAGACCAGGGCTCCCCCCATCCACGCCCCCTCTCTTTGCCCAGCCCTGCCAATTCCAGTCAGCAGGGAGCCCACCTCCCACAAAACAGTACGGGGCAGAAAAGTTAACTGACGTGAAGACTCCTAAGAGAATGGGGCATGGTTCCACGTACTCATGACCATTTGCCCTTCTAACTGAATAGGGCTGGCTCACTACATAGGCACGAACTAGAAACCCATATGTTGATCCCTACTGGCTTGCTCCTCAATTTAGGCAATCTGATGGTGCCCCACTTCCAAGGAGGTTATTCATATTGCTGGTTTCATGTATTACATGCTAGGGTTGAGCTAAACATAAAAACGAGAATGACCCTCATGGCTCCACCACCCGAGTACTGGTTTACAGGTATGCACTGCCAGGTCTGGCTCAGAAACCTGCATTCTTGAGTCAAGACAGTTCCTCATGTGGACTTACTGCTAGAAACATTACTCAGGCCTTTGGGGTACACACCATGAAGCCACACTATGAGGGCCGACAGTGATGTGACAAATTAGCTTTAATCACCAAAGACAGATTTGATTGCAATTCAGTCCCAGGTGGGCAAGTGCTGACTCAACCTCCAAATACCTCCAAGAAACTTCACAGGGTCCTGGACTAGTAGCTGATACACTGCTCACAAGTCTAAAATCTGAATGCGTAAGTCCTGGCAATCCTGGGTTCGGCTCAACACTGAAAACTGACTCCCCTGCCCACGTAGAGACAAGCAACACACATGAGGTAAGACTCACTTTTTTCTACAACGTTTAATTTCTGGAAACTCTCCATTAACTCGGCATTCAGTAGTCTGGGTAAGAAGTCCCGTAACTGCATCACTTCAGTGGTCAGCCGCTCCAGGTCCTTCTTTCTGACTTTAACAAATTCTTCTTTAGATTCTATGTACTAAGAGCAAGGAGATCTTAACATTACAATGTTTCTCTTCAGATGACCAGAACTAGCACCCCCAAATCAACTTTCTTTTACGTCACGACTCTTACATTCATAATTACCTCACAAGCATGTCTACATACATACCTTTGTGTGTATGCATGTGTATTCAGTTTTGTTTCATTTTGGGTTCTGCTTGTTTTTTGAGAGGGCAAGTCTATGTAGCCCAGGCTATTCTGGAACTATGTAGACAATGCTGGACTTTGAACAGTGTGTCTGCCTCCGCCTCCCCAGTAACGGGGTTATAGGCCTATTCCATTACCCCTGGTACCTGATGTGCCTTCTGTTGCAAGTATATGGATATGATGTGTGTGTGTGTGTGTGTGTGTGTGTGTGTGTGTGTGTGTGTGTGTACATGGGTTTTATATGCAGAGAGACAAGTTATACTCCTGGCTTTTCAAGAGACCGAGGCTGAAAGATGGCTTTGCCCAGGAGTTCGAAGCCAGCCGTGAGCCGCCTGTCAAGACTGACTCAGTCAGAATATGGCAGAAGAGGGAGTGTAAATACTGAAGGGTGAAAACCCGCACACATGAGCCTAAAAGCCAGAGAAAATCCCTGGAATCAAATGTCCCCAGGGCTGAAGGGCTCCAGGATAGGACCCCTGAGGGCTGCTCCCGGCCTCGGCAACCCCTAACATTCGCCACTACCATCCAAAGGCGTCACACCGGAAGTAGGCGTCACACCGGAAGTAGGCATCAACGAGGCCCGAGTCACCAAGGGCAGAACCCGAATGACTGCACACGCAGCTCTGGCTCCCCCAAAAGCCTCACGGCCTGAGACCTACGTCACCACTTTTTAACTTGACCGAAGGTCTTCAGAGGGCTCGGGCATGCGGAGCCTCGAGTGGCTCCCGCCCTGGGCCGCCTCACAGGCTCTGGTCCCGCCCTAGGGGGAGCGAGGGAACACTGGGCCATCTCACTGACCCGGAAGGCCTCCTCAATACCGGACCCCTCGCCCATGGCAGCCACCTCGCCCCCGGACGCGGCCATGCTCGTGGCCTCTGCTGCGTGCTTGTGTGCGCCTGCGCGGAGCTCTCTAAGCGGGAGAAAGCGCGGGAACTGGAAGATGCTGGGACCAGACAGGAAGCCGCGAGGTTCAAATCTCGCCAAGTTTGCGCTGTAGGCTCTCGACTTCTGAATCCAAGGATAAGGTTGATCCGACTTTGCTGCAGCTCTTCGGCTTCAGTCGTCTTTCAAGTTTGTCACCTGTAAAATGAGGCCAGGGTGTCAAAATAAGCAGAATCATTCCTTTCCTGTATAAAGAGAGGATGCTACAGTCAAATCCACATCCTCTTTGTGAGAAACCAAACAGAACATTGTCCTTGACCCAAAGCGCTTCTGTGTGGAGAGATACATTTTTGTATCCACAGAAGACTTATTTTGGCCAGGTAAATGAGGCATGAAATAACCACAGTTTGAAGCTGGGTGTACTGGTACATGCCTGTAATCCCAGCACTTGGGTGGTGGAAGGAGTTCAACACTAGCCTTGCTACATAGCAAGGGAGAGTCTAGCCTAGGCTACATGGGGGAAAAGATCAAATTAAATAACCAAAGTTTGGCCGGGCGTTGGTGGTGCACGCCTTTAATCCCAGCACTCGGGATGCAGAGGCAGGCGGATCTCTGTGAGTTCGAGGCCAGCCTGGTCTACAGAGCGAGTTCCAGGACAGCCTCCAAAGCCACAGAGAAAACCTGTCTCGAAAAACCAAAAATAAATAAATAAATAAATAAATAACCAAAGTTTGGAAGGGTATCCTAATCTAATAATCCCCCAACGTGCTAATGAAGCCACAGAATATGTTTGATGACCTAGGGCTTTGGTGTCCCTAAAGTTAGCTCAATTGTTAAGACTTCTTTCTTGTGGGATTAGTATGTTCCCACTTTGCTGAGTGGTTTTATGTCAACTTGACACAAGCTAAAGTCATCTGAGAGGAGGGACCCTGATGGGGGAAGTCCTTCTGTCTATATGTTGTCCTATTGGTTAGTAAATAAAGCACTGTTGGCCAATAGGGAGCAAGATAGGTAGGACTAGGAATTGAGGATTCTGGGAAATGTAGTCAAGAGTAGAGAGTCGCCATGTGATCCCAGGAGGAGAGGACATGTCAAGAAGGCATCCTTGGAAAGATAAGTCCTTATAAAAATATATTAGTAATTATGGGTTAATAATTAAGTCAGAGCTAGCCATTAAGAAACCATAGCAATGACCAACAGCTTCATAATTAATATAGTGCCTCGTGTGTTATTTGGGGGCAGAGACAGCAGCAGGACCCAGACGGTTGGAGGGAAGAATGTTACAGGACCCTCGATTTAGGAAATATCTCCCAGCCCTTGGAAGGCAAAGGCAGGTGGGTCTCCAGGTTGGAGGCCAACCTGGTCTGCAGAGGAAGTTCCAGGACGGCCAGGGCTACACAGAGACCCTGTCTGAAACATCAAATTAAAAAGTAATAAAAATAGAAATTAAGAAAATGTCTCCATAAAATCATGTTGTAGGCTACACGTGTAAGGGATGTTGTTGTTTTCACAGGGCTTGTCTGTGTAGCTCTGGCTGTCCTGGAACTCACTCTGTAGACCAGGCTGGCCTCAGACTCACAGAGATCCACCAGCCTCTGCCATCACCAGCATGCTATAAGGCATTTTCTTAGTGCTTGATGGGGGGAGGATCCAGCCTATTGTGGGTGGTGCCATCCCTGGATTGGTTAGTCTAGTGTTCTATAAGAAAGCAAGCTAACCAAGCCATGGGGAGCCATCAGTGAGCAGCACCCTCCATGGCCTCTGCATCAGCCCCTGCCTCCAGCTTCCTGACTTGAGTTCTTGCCCTGACTTCCTTCGATGAACAGTAATATGGAAGTGTAAGCCAGATAAACCCTTTCCTCTCCAATTTGCGTTTTAGTCATGGTGTTTCACTGTAGCAGTAGAAACCCCAAGACACTACTGTGCGTTTTGCATGACCTAAGGACAGAGTCATGTTCCCTGCCGGTTAGATTCCCAAATCCTCCCCTGCTTGCTGCCAGGTCAGGTCATTTCCCTCTATTGTAGGGGAGACGTCCCTGCACCTAACCCAGACGCTGTGGCTATGGGTTTTGCTAACTCCCCATTTAACAAGCCTGCTACCGCCCCAAGCTTGCTCTCTTGCCACTACACACCCCTGAATTGTCCCAGGAATGGACTGCTCTCCCCACTCCACACCCCCTGTACGTGCCCTTGATGCTGCAGGGATGGGCTGTTCTCCCTCTTCCTCGCTTCCGCTGCACCTGTCGCAGGACACAGACGGGAGGCGGGTCACTCACTGATGCGCGAGCATCAGAACTCTAGGCATTACGTGGGGGAAGTGGAGGTGCGGGAGCACTGCCTTGTGCAGTCATCAGGCCCGGGCTCCCTGGATGACGCCCTTCCCCCTGGGTTCAATTCTACCCTGGAAAGCCCGCCGAGTTCTGCAGACACTGGGTGAGTGGGGGTCGTTGGAGCGCCGTTCCCCCGACAGAGCCTTGTTAGCTGTGCTTAGAGCCTAGACTGCGTCAAACCAGCCGTAGGCGTCTGCCTGGAGGAAACCTGACCCCAGCTAACCTCGACGCCAACCGCACTGCACTCGGACCACCCACAGGATGTACTGAAGCAGCGCGGCTGCAGCGTCTGCTCGCGCCACGGCCACGCGGGCTCGCTGGGCGCGATACAACGGGCGCGTCTGTGACGCCATCACCCGCGCGCCGCTGCCCGTGCGCAGGCGCAGTAGAGACTGCTCGGAGGCGAGCTGCGCGCGCGCTACCCGGGGATGCTTGAGCGGGCGCGATGGCTCCCGCCATGCAGTCGGCCGAGCTCCAGTTCGCCCAGAGGCTGGCCTCCAGCGAGAAAGGTGTCCGCGACCGCGCAGTGAGGAAGCTGCGGCAGTATCTCAGCGCGAGGACGCAGAGCGACACAGGTGCGGGCCGGGGTCCGCGTCGCTGCGTTCGGCGTGGGTCGCGCCTGTGGGTGCGGGTGCGGCTGCTGCGGGCTGTGCGGCGGAGCTCCAGGTCCGACCTCAGCACTGGCCCAGCTCGCCGGGGCCCATTCGTGTTTCTCGTTTCCTTCCCTTGGGTAGCGCCTGCAGGCGCTGGTGTGCGGGAGAGAGTTGAGGCTGTATTCCAGCCCCGGAGGAACTCAGGCAGTGTGGTGGCCAGGACCTGTGGCCGTGGTGCATGTGTGTTATACCAGTGGTGTGGAAAAGTGCGGGAGAAAGTCTCTCCAAGGGAAGCCGCCTGTGTGCTGTGAGATTTTGAAAGGAGGAAGCCAGACAGACAGACGCAGGAAAAGAGCTAAGGGTGCCCTAGGCCAGAGAAATCAAAAAGTTGGCGCGCAGGGCGTGTTGAGATGAAGTTGATCCTGGAGGCAATGAGGCCAGATTACTCACTGGCTTTCTCGTTTAACTGCCGTGAAGTGCACTGGAAGATTTTACTTGAGTGATCCAGAATAGGTTGAACTCTTGAGTGAACACATACGGTCTGTACTGCAGCGTGCTGTGGGGGTTTCAGGTTGCAGCCAATTAGCTAAAGTTTGAGTTACGTGTTGCCAAATCTGCTTAAAATTGAAACATGGGGGACTGGAAAAATGGCTCAGCGGTTTGAGTCCCAGTACCCGCATGGCAACTCACGACGAGTGGAGAGGAGTCGCCCCCTTCTGACCTCTGCTGACACCAGGCATGCACGTGGAGCACATACATGGAGGCAGGCAAAACACTCCTACACCTAATACAAATCTAAGAAAGTTTTCTTTAATTAAAATCTGCCCCCGTGTGATAGCTCACACCATCAATTCCTGCATTTGAGATGCTGAAGGTAGCCATGGCCACAGGGCAAGCAAGATTTTTATCTCCAAAAAAGGGAAGAGAAACTTTTGTGAGAAATGTGATAGAGGAATAAAACTAAAATATTCTTTTTTAAAACTATTACGTGTGTGCACGTCCACCCTAGAATCCAGAGGTCAGGTTCAGGTAGACGGGCTTAAGTACCAAATGCTATTATCCACTGAGCCGACTTAGCAGCTGAGATCCCTCCCCACCCCATAATGTTTCAGTTAAGGATTGCCCCCGGAAATTCCGTTTCCTCTCATGCTTACAAGTTTCCTATATACTTGTGCTGGTAGTTCCTAAACCTAACTTGGTAGCCCAGGTGGACTTTTGTTACCCTCCCTCAGATTAGTGCTCCTAGCCTGGTACTCCACCTGGCTGTCCTAGTGTCAAAAATAGGATCCACTCCTGCTTCCCCCAAACGCCAATTCTTTCCTGCTGCCCCTCCCCTATGGCTCACACTTCCTTACTTTTTCACCACACAGACACACCACACTGTTGGGGGCTCTCTTCATCCTCCACACCCACCCACACTTTGTCCGCTTGTCCTTCCTTCTCAACAACCTGAATTACTCTGCCGTAACCAGAAGTTTCTTTACCTAGGTTTCTGTCCTGTCTGTTCCCTAACTGGACTCCTTTACTCCGTTGTGCCTTTTGCTTGTTTTTGTTTTTCAACACAGGGTTTCTCTGTGCATCAGCCCTGGCTGTCCTGGAAACCAGGCTGGCTTCAAACTCCCAGAGATCTGCGTGCCTGTATCTCTTGAATGCTGGGATTTAAGGGCATGCGACCCCAAGCCTGGACTTCCATTGTGTTTCTTTAATCTCCCCTCCACAAACCAGGCCAGGTCATTTTCCTTGAAGGTCACAGTCTGTCAGTCTGTGATGTCCTCACCTGCTTTCCTAAGTCATTAGTAGTCAATAAAACCCTGTAGGCTGAGGATACCTCACATACTTTCTCACCTCCATGCTTTTTCATTCATTCCCTGCTTGTTTTGCAAAGAATTCTACCTCTTCTCCCCTGGCAGTATCATTTCCAAGAAATTCCCCATTAATGTATCTACCCAGCCTCCTGATTACCTCTAGAGTTATAAAATATGTGTCCCTTTTGTAGTACTTGGTGGGAGTGCTATTTGTTTTGGGACAGGATTTCCTGTAGCCAGGATTGGTCTCTATTAGCTAGGTTACTGAGAATGACCTTGAACTCCTCTGTGGTCCTGCCTTTGCTGTGTACAGAATACTTTGTGAATTCAGTGACTTCTGTCATTTTCCCCCAGCACTGTAAGCGTCAGTATGGAGCCTTAGGAGGACCTTCAGGAGACAAGCAAACGCGTATACTACATCTGGATCTCAGACAGCCAAAGAGGGTGTTCCTCAGACCCCTTTGGTGACAGGCCCAGAGCTTGCAGTACTAAGATGTCACAAAGGCCTGCAGCCAGCTGGCTCGCACCAGTACCAGGATCCTTCCTGCTTAGCACCACCCCACCAGATTTGCTTATCTCATTAACCTGTTCATCATCATGGCCAGTTTGTGGAATTTAATAGAAGTGGGGGCTGGGAAGATGGCTTAGCAGGTTAGACCACTTGTTTTTTCTTGCAGGGAACCAGGGATCTATTCCCAACATCCCATGGTGACTCATAACCATTCATAACTCCAGTTCCAGGGCTTCTGACACCCTCTTCTGACCTCTGCAGTCACTACAGATGCACATGGTATACACAGATGCATGTAAAATATACATATGTATAAAATAAATTAAAAATAACCACAGGGGCTAGTAGCATGACTCTTATCAATAATGTGCTTGCCACATGCCCAGGAGCACATGAGTTCAGGTGTTCAGCAACCATATAAAAACCAAGTGAAATCCTTGTGTAGCCTTGTTGGCTAGACAACCTGTCTCAGAAAATTAGCTGGAGGGCTGTTGCAGAAAATACCCAGCATTGACTTCTGACCTATACGTATGTGCATGCAAATTAATAAAAATTGTAGGATGATGCTGGGCGGTGGTGGCGCACACCTTTAATCCCAGTAGAGGCAGAGGCAGGCGGATCTCTGAGTTCCCGACCAGCCTGGTCTACAAGAGCTAGTTCCAGGACAGCCTCTGAAGCCACAGAGAAACCCTGTCTCGGGGAAAAAAGGCAGAATGAATGTCTTAATCGAGGAGCAAGAAAACCAAAGTATCTGGCACTGCTGTGCCCCGTCGTAATAGAAGCACAAGTTGCCTCACATTTGCGTCTCGTTGACAAACTCCATTTGTTTTGCAGCCTTGCATCTTGTTGAGACAGCTGATGTCTTAGTCTTACTGAAACAGATAGCTGTCTATCAGCAGCATAAATAGATAGCTCTGTGGTCTTCTCTGTCATGGAGCGGTCACTGTGGTTTAGTTCATGGTGGCATTTGTGAAGTACTGTGTGTTGCTGTGTACACTGTTCTTGGCTTAGGGATTGCAGCAGTGAGCCAAGCAGGCAATCCCCGCCTGTCTTAACAGTACTCCGCCGTAAACATTTAACATTTACTAAAGCCATGGTGTATCTTAAACCAACCCTGTGGCAGCTTCGTTTGTGTCATTGCTTCCCCTTTTTTTATTAGTATTAGGGGTGTGGGTGTGTGCGCGAGCACTCGCAAAAGGGAGATGATGTGTTACACACACACTTGCAGGTGAGAAAACAACTTTTTAGGGCTAGTTCTCTCCTCCCGTTTTTATGTAGGTTCAAAAGCTGGAGCTCGGGGTGTGAGGTTTGTGTAGAAGAACCTTTACCTGCCGAGCCATTTGTTTCCCCAGCCCCAGCTTCCTCTTTGATGGCATAGAAAATGACTGGATTTGTGGCTGGTGGTGGCTAGAGTTACTGTAGGCATTGTGGAAGTAAGTGCCTTTCCTACTGATGGAGTTAGGGTTCTCCGCTGGACAGTTATAAAAAGGGGGAGGTGTACACGTTGTGGCAACTCACAGCTACCTGTAACTCCAGTTCTAGGGGACCTGACATCCTCACACAGACACACATGTAAGCAAAACACCAGTGCCAGTGCACATGAACTAACAACAAGTCATAAAAAATGGGGGTGGGTTAAGACAGAAAGTGAATCACAGTGACATTCGCCAGTGGGAAAGCACTCAGCTCTAACAGAGTGCCTCTCGTGCTTGCGTGTACTCTTGATTTCATGTAAACCGTGTACTACATGCATTTTATAATGAGGGCACTGGGCCCTAGCCAACAGTGTGCTTCCCTTCGCTACAGATTAGACAAGGTGTCCTGTACCCAGACTCCTGCTGCCCCTGGCCCACCATTAAGTCTGTTGAAATGGACTGGATTTCATTTTAGAAGCTCTAGTAATCCTGTGGAAGCTTTGCCTGTGATGGCCGTGAGCTGTCCAGGGATACTGGATGCACTCAAGTGTCATTCACCACTGGCCTTTAAAGAACCATCTGGAGGTTTGTGGGCACAGTTCAGTGTGGAGCACTTACTGAGCATGTGTATAGTACATGCTCAATAAGAGATAGTACATACTGTGATGCTTTACGTGTGAATGGCCACAGTACTGATTATGGTAACACACATCCAACACATGTAGCCATGCTGTTCTGACATACATATAATGGTTATGCACATAGGAAAAGTCTGCGAGGGTGCATACACATCCGGTGGGTCATGGTCCTCTGGGGAGGAGCCGGTGAGTTAGACATGCTTTTGACTACAACTCTGGAAATTTTGTGGTGTGTGTGTGTTTTGCAAAAATGCATTTTTATTGTGTGGGTATTTGACCTCAGGTGGGGTTGGGTGTTCCCTACACACTTGGATGGTAAGACTACTGTCTAGCATCCATGCCACACATTTCAAGGGCAGAGATATGCCCCTGGGCAGCAGGAAGCCAGTGACACCAGAACTCATTTCTCTGAAGAAGCTTTGCCCTGCTGGGTGGTCTCCATTCTTTCCCTCCCTCTGTGCAGGCTCAGGAGCGGCTCGTGTGCTGTGCTGACCAGTGAGAGACCTCCCTAGAGCCCGGGCAGAGGAACAGTGAAGGGGCTAATGGCCCTTTCTGACTTGGCTTATACCCTCATTGCTGTCATTGCAGTGGCTGCTACACCACCCCACTGCCTCCTTCTACAGCCTTGCCCTGAAATCTGGACCCACAGGCAGCTCGCAGACAAACCCTGAGTGTCTGGCCAGGTCCCTCCCGGGAACCACAGCTTTAATCCTCCTATAGCTTTCCACAGGCTTTATGGAGGGTTCTTCAGGCGTCCATTCAAAGCACACAGCCTGTGTGGGACTTTGGCTACTTCGTGTAACCCTTTTTTTCTCCTCTTGTATTGAGGATCATTTCAAATATGTGAAAAGTATCCTTGTTTCACTGCTGTGGTAGTTCCCAGCACTTGACCAGCTCGTTTGACACGCCCCTTTCGGATCTTAGGCCTCTAGCCCACTTCATTCACTCAGCACGTAGTCCCTCTTTTAACAACCACAGCATCACCTGTACACCATAACAAAGGCCTCAGCCAGGCCTGGTGGCCTGCCTGCACCTATCATCACAAGTGGAGGCAGAAAGATGAAGAATTTGAGACCAGCCTGGGCTACATAGCAAGACTCTTAAATACACACGCACACACAGTCTTGATGTAATGAAATATTCAATCTACTGAATTTTTCTCAGCATCTTTTTTGTTTGTTTGTTTTTGTTTTTTTCGAGACAGGGTTTCTCTGTGGCTTTGGAGCCTGTCCTGGAACTCACTTTGTAGACCAGGCTGGTCTCGAACTCAGAGATCCGCCTGTCTTTGCCTCCCGAGTGCTGGGATTAAAGGCATGGGCCACCAATGCCCTGCTTCTCACCATCTTTTGTTTTTCTGTCAATTCAAACAAAACTGGTGTATCTGCAGACTTAATTCCCAGCAGTTCTTTTTTTTTTTTCTCCTGTACTGTTTGTTATGGAATGTGGGACATTTGTCTTCTAGAATACCATACCTTTGTCTCATGTATCTCTGCCCCAACGTTTTTATAAACTAGTAACCAGAGGTACAAGTCAGATTTTTAAGATTACTTAGACAGATCTGTGTTTGTGATTTTCCTGTGATAAGTTCCAACTGATGGTTTGGGTGTGATCTGACCCAAGTGATCTGAAGTGGTTTCTGCAGTCGCCGGTTCTTAGCCAGATCCACTGTTCTCCAGGCACATGTGCAGTCTTAGAGTATGACCAAACAAAAGTGCAGGTTACCACAACAAGAAAAGTCAGCCATTGTAACTGTAGTTGGGCAGGTGCTGGGGGGGTGTGCCATGTTTACATTAGTTAGCAGAGAGAGGTCAGTTGGCGTGTCACTTGTGTGGCTCCTTTAAGAAATGTGCTTTGATTAGCTAACTTTATTTACTATGGTTTCTGCTATCCTGGTGTTTGGGATTTGTGGGTTGTTTCTTTGTGTGAAATGATCTACCTATGTAGCCTTGGCTGCAACTCTGCCTGCATCTGTACGAGGATTAAAAGCATGTGCTACCACACTTGCCATCTTGGTTTTAAGTGGAAAACTATCACAAAAAAATGCAACATTATAAAGGCATTGAAAGGAGGCAGGCCTTTTTAAAAAAAAGAACTTTTTAGGGGGAATGTTGGGGGGTTGCATACGTGCATGCATGTAGGAGCATGTTGGTTGGCTGCCACCATCTATTCCCCTATTCCCTGAAGGCAGGGTCTCTCTGAACCCGGAACTTAGTGTTTGTGCTAGGCTGGGTTGACCATTGGAAATCACAGGAGCTTGTAGCTTCTATCTGGAGCTGAAGACTGGGGTTCTCATCCTGCCTCACAGGTGGTCTCACTTATTGGAGTCTCACCTGCTGCACCATCTCCCCAGCCCAGACACAGCTCTTCAGTAAGTTGGAAATCAGTCATAGAATAAAGTTGGCTCACTGAGTACACTACAGAGCCACTAGTCTACTACAAAGGTTCTTTACCATTTTAAAAATGTCTCGTGGAGTTAATAGCACACTGGATTCAAATATGTACTTGAATTGTGAGTCTAGTTAGTTTTTTTCTTACTCTTTGGGAGCCTGCCACCCAGCTCCCAAATAAATACATGGAGACTTATTCTTACTTATGAGAATGCCTGGCCTTAGCTTGGCTTGTTTCTAGCCAACTTTTCTAAATTAAGTTGACCCATTTCTCTTTACGCTTTGCCTCTGGGCTTTTTACCTTTCTTTACTCTGTATACAGTCCTTCTTCCCTTCTTCCTCTGTGACTGGCTGTGTGGCTGCTTGGCTGGCCCTGGTGTCCTCCTTTCAACCTATTTTCGTTCATCCTCTTCTCTCCAGCCTAGATTTCTCTTCCTGTTTATTCTCTGCCTGGCTGCCCGTTTCTCTCTCCTGCCTAGCCATTGACTGTTCAGTTCTTTATTAGATCAGTCAGGTGTTTTAGGCAGACTTACTAACACAGCTTTACAGAGTCGAACAAATGCAACATAAAAGAATACAACAGGTCTTTGCATCATTAAACAAATATTTCACAGCATAAACGAATGTAACATATTCCACAACATGTGTAAGGTGGGACACAGAGGCAGGAGGATCACAAGTGTCAAGGCCAGTCTGAACTAAGTAACAAGACCTCAAAAAGCTAAGCAAACAGCAGGGCATGGTGGCGCACACCTTTATGCCCAGCACTCAGGAGGTAGAGGCAAGCGGAATACTGTGAGTTCAAGACAGCCTGGTCTAACAAAATGAGTTCCAGGACAGCCAGAGCTGTTACACAGAGAAACCCTGTCTGAAAAGAAAAACTTGTTTTTATTCATCTTGTTTGTCTCAGTGTACTGCCGAGAAAACTTCCGTCCCTGACCATGCAGATGGAGAATGCTGCTGCTTCTCTGCCTCAGCATTCATGGCCATCTTTGCTTTCTGACACCTGGAATAGGACCACGAGCGGCTGGCCATGGTCCTGGCAGCTGGGCAACAAGTGGTAGGGCCAAGTGATAACCTCCAGGACATGCTGCTTAAAACAGACGGATGCAGTTTTAAGAACTGCCTGGAAATGATGGCTGACACCGTGAGAAGGAAGGAGCGCGGCTGATTTTCGCCTATAGTGGACCCTTTTAAAAGTACCCCTGGCTCGGCAGAACCATCCTCACTGGTCCATCTTCTGTCCTTGGGAGTGGGTCTGCCATTTGATGGGGCACTTAGTCACTGGAGAACCTTACATCTTTTATGGGACTTGTGGTTTTCCATCATTAAGATCAGTGAAACCTTTCTTCCCTTGCTGGGAAGGGGTGAGTTCGAGGCCTGGTATGTGCTTGGCAACTGGTCTACCAGGCATATGGGTTAGTTTTACTGTCCCACTTGGTGATAAGGACTTGTCCCCATTGCCGCCCACCTTTGACTGATAGTGACACGTGCAGTAGAAGTTACATGTGTACATGGCATGCTTGGGATATTAGCCATTAGCATGAGGTGTGCTGCAGGTTTAGGGAAGGGTGTGCAGAAGGGGGGGTAGTCTTGCTGCTGGTGTAGCATCTGTAAACATTAAGGAAAGGATATAGACTCTAAGGTGGTTGTGCCATTTTCTCCCGCAGGAGGTTTCACTCAGGAAGAACTCCTAAAAATATGGAAAGGACTCTTCTACTGCATGTGGGTACAGGACGAGCCCCTTCTGCAGGTAACGCAGCCCCTCATCGTGTTCCTGGAACTTTGCCACGGTGGATACGAGACTTGACCATTTACGCTCCGCCAGTCTGCTGCCATCCCCAAACAGATGGAAGTAAACGCTTCAAGGAGCCATTGTCTCAGCTCTTGTCCCCTCGGGAAGGGGCAGCAGGCCCTTAGGCTGTGCTTTCAGACATATCGGACACACTAAGTCATAGACTCCCTATTGCTCTCATCATTTCATAGCTTCCATGGTAGGTTCTACACAGTGTTTCTAATGTTTCTGCTTTCTCTTCTGTTGATGCGTGGTCAGAAGCACAGCAGGGGGTGCTGGTGAAGATGCAGGCAGCCAGGCCCTGTGGCTAAAGTGCCATGGGCAGCACTAGTGACCAGAATACACAGCTGAGCTTTTATCCCTGCCCACTGAGCCTGCCACCAGTACAACCATAGAAGAGTTTTGTTCTAATGTCTGAAACTAGACCCACTTCAATAGCAGGAGAGTACGGGTCACAACACCCAAGCCCCAGTGTAGAATCCTCCTGGGTAGCGCTTACCTTGTGTGTGAAGCCTTGCTGCTTTTCTCAGGACACATAGTGACTTGTCTCAATTCACTGTGTTGATTCTACTGAACATATTTTGAGTGGGATAACAGAGAAAAATATTTTAAGATTATATTCAGAAGTAGCAACAAGCAGCTTTAGTGGAGGAAGAGAACCAACCAAAAGGAGCATCATTTTCAAGTCTTGGAGTTCATTCAAGACAAGTAAGGCACTCTGGGCACAGGAGACGTGAGCAGGGCCATTAAAGGTGCTCATCTTCAGGTAGTGGAAGATGGAAGGCTTCCTAAACCCAGCCCCTTACTTCTGACTACTGTGCCTCCACAAACTCTTCAGTTTTGCCCAGAGCACAACCTTGAGGACTCTGTTGACATTCCGGCCTGCTCTAACCAGGTCTAGTGGAAGACTGGAATGGAAACCCCATTGTACAAGCACCAGCAAGGTTCTGCTATACCTTCTGGCTTTGCAACATTTGATAATCATGATAGATTCTGTTTAGCTTATATGTTAAAGCCAGGGATGGGGTGTGATAATGCACACCTTTTATCCTAGTACTCAGGCAGAGGCAGACAGATCTCTGTGAGTTCAAGACCAGCCAGAGCTATGTAGAGATCCTGTCTCCAAAAAAAAAAAAAAAAGGCCAGGAATTGGCAGTGAGATTACTTCTTAACCAGAGGCTTTCTTAAACACATAGTTTTAGCATTTTTTCCAGAAACATCACATTAGCTCAATAGTTTGCTAAAGTTTGGAGTTTCACGTAAAACCCAGGGTGTCAGCCGTAGACCCAGGACAAGAGGCACAGGTTTTCCCACCACAGAGGGAGGAGGGTACCGCCCACAGCACTGCCACTACAATGTGACCACCTAATAACTGATGTTTCTCCCCAACCCACCTTTGCAGGAGGAGCTAGCGAACATTATTTCCCAACTCATCCATGTTGTTAACAGCTCAGAGGCTCGTAAGTCCTGACTTTTTCCTGGCTTTCAGACTTCCTCATTAGCGGGTTTGGTAGCTTGCCTGGGGAACACAGTCATTGCTTCCCCCCTGTGACCGTCCAGTTTTCAGGGTGTTGGTTACATGGGAGCCTCCTGACAGCATTGCACGGGTGTTACAAGTTGTTATTGTTTTAAAGGCTGCTGAGCTTAATGTCAGCTGCTAAGTGAACAGAGATCAAAGACTGAACAGCACTCCTCCAAAGCCTCCAAATTCAACTTACTCTCATACTTGGAGGCTATGATGCTTATGCCAGTACATGCAGTAACCTGGCAGGTGCATCCTGGCCAAGATTAGTGCCATCATGGCGATAAATCACTGCAATAAAGTATAAAGTAACCCTTCTCTACCTAAAAGAAAAGAGGAGTTTTATGAAATTAGACAGCAGTTTGGCATTCCCCGCTGAGTGACTGGGTTGGTTCTCCCAGTTCTAGCTGGCTTGCAACATGTAAAGTCTACATTTGTTGTACAGTGAAGATTTCATTTGTTAATAAATTGTGCTGGGCGTGTGGTACATTCAGAAGGCTGAGCCAGGAGGTTTGTGAGCTCCAGGCCAGCCTGGGTAACAGCCAAACCCTATGTAGAAGGGGGTAGAGATACTCAAAAGTCAGTAAATAAGAAAATTTTCCAATTGTAAAGGTGGTAGCTCTGTGGCTTAAATAACTTGTGCTGTGTCTCAGCCAGACAACACCTAACATCAGAAGAAGAAAAAACTGCATTTGTACGTGAATTGTAAGAATGCTCATCGAGATGAATAGATTGATAGAGAGGGCCAGAGGGTGCCTTCAGGGGTCTCTGATAGGAAGGTGGGTTTGAGGCAGATAAAAGAACAGTGCTTCCGGGAGTATTCTGATTTAGAGGTGCTGATGGTATTGTGTTATAATGTCTTTGTATAGCTACAAAGGAAATTGTGGAGCATATTTAGTTATTGGCCAAACCCTACCTGCCCAAGGACAGATATGTAAAGAGAACTACATGTGTTTTCAGTTGCTTCCTTCTTGCTGTATGCTCATGTGGCACTGAGCCCTGAGACCCTCTTGTTCCTACAGAGCACCTGTTCATTCAGACCTTCTGGCAGACCATGAATCGAGAGTGGCAGGGGATAGACAAGCTACAGCTGGACAAGTACTGCATGGTAAGGGGCGCCTCCCTCTGTACACAGAAGGTTCTGTCACCAGGTCGGCCTTGAACTCATAGACCCGCCTGCCTCTGCCTCCTGAATTCTGGGATTAATGACGTGCACCACCACCTCCTGGCCCGCTAATGGTTTTAATATAGCTAAGTGCTAGAGTTAAGAGAAAGAGGCTGTTGGGAAGAAAGTAAACGACACCCCAGGTCATGTAGGTTTCTCAGACAAGCTGCCTTACTGGCGTTCTTGAGACTAGCTTCCATCCCCAGCAAGGAAACAGTGGGAAGCCAGGCCCAGTGTGGCAGGGTGCTGTGGCTATGCCTTGATTGTTGTTCTCTGGGGATGGCGTGGCAGAGCCTCTGTGTGCTGTGCGGACTCGCTTCCGGCTCTTGGGTACAGGCACATACCACTGTCTGACTTCATGGTTTTGATCCAGGGGTTAAATAGACTCAAGGATGTTGTCTCATTTTGGGGATCCAGCATTGACCCCTCCTCATTCAGCCAAGATGATAACTATATTTTTGCTTTTATTATAAAAATGTCGACCTTTAGCTGATCCGCCTGGTCCTGAGGCAGTCCTTTGAAGTTCTCAAGCGGAATGCCTGGGAAGAAAGGTTGGTAAACTATTTACATTAACATGTGGTGACATTAAAAGCATGTCAAAGTTGCTAGGTGACTCAGTGGTGTAGCACTTGCTTAGTGGGTTTGAGGCCCTGGTTTTGATCCTTAGTAGCCCCAAAAAATCCTTACAGAGTAATAGGGTCCTCTAAGATTTTGGGTAATAAAAAACATGAATTGGCTGATCTATGTCTACCACTATATAGTGCTATGAGAGGCAAAATAGGTCCTGAGCCAAGGGAGCTTAAAACCGAGTAAAGTTGCAGAGTCGGTTGATATGACCAGAGTAACTGTTGTCTTCCCTTTAGGCCTCATAGTGACTGTTCTGCAGTGTGAGCAGTAAACTCTTTTTGTCTGCTCTTTGGGAAGAGGTGGGTATTGGTGATGTCTTTTAGGAAAGCAACCGTGTGGTGGTTTGTTTTTTGTTACTCCTTAGCCAAATCAAGCTTTTTCTGGACATCCTGATGAAGGAGATCCTGAGTCCCGAGAGCCAGTCTCCGGATGGAGTGAAGACCCACTTGATTGGTGTTTATCTGGATGAGCTCTCCTCTGTGGGAGGGAGGGAGGTGAGAAGTAGCACTGCCCGGCCAGCGGTGTGATGTGATGGGACCGCCATGCTCAAGGGTTGACATGGGTCCTGTCAAGGAGCAACCTCTCTGACTTCTCCCCTCCTGGAGTTGACTGTCCCAGACAGCTAGTGGACTTGCAGGCAGAAAGCACGCTCTACATGTATGGCAGTCTTAACCTGTAAAGTAGGATTGATCCAGGAGTACGAGGCCCCGTGTTTAGGTACGATAGTATATGCCTGTAATCTCAGCATTGAAGCAGGTCCATCTCCTGTTCCAGGGCAGCCTGTGCCACATAGCAAGACCCTGCCTCCTCCTCCTGCAGAAAGAGTGGGATACAATTACAGAGCCCAGTATGAAAAAATCATGGTATATTGAGTATTTCAGAATCTGGGAGGGAAAGGCAATAGACAACACTACATAGATTATACCCAATGTAAATCAACAAAAAGCTAGAAAGAAAAAGTATACATACTTTTAGATAAAGATGGTTATCTCAGTTTGGGGTGTAAACAATTTCTACTATCGTCTTTGTTCTATAGTAAACCTTTTATATGTACATTAAGTAAAAGGAATTACAGTGTATGTGAGGGGGTGCATTTATTCGTTTGTTGAGATAGAGTTTTTCTGTGTAGATTTGGAATCTATCCTGGAATTCGCTCTGTAAACCAGGCTGGACTTGAACTCACAGAGATCCGCCTGCCTCTGCCTCCAGAGTGCTAGGATTAAAGGCGTGTGCCACTACTGCCTGGCTATAAATGATGTATTTTTAGAAGAGAGGCAGCACATGTACACACACTGAATTGATGAATGAAATTTAAAACTAAAGAATGCCTTTGTCTCGTGTTCTAAGATGGCATCCACATAGAATTCATATTTTCCTTGCAGTTCTGGAGATAGCCAGGGCCTACTGCTAGGCGGGTGCCACAGACAGCTATCTCAGGAGACCTGAGTGCTGAAGTGTAGCCCTGACCAGTTGTGATTCTTTGGGTCACTGCATTTTCCCTCAATTTTATGTCTAAATTACAGCTCTTGGCGGATCAGAACCTCAAGTTAATTGATCCATTCTGCAGAATTGCTGCCAAGACTAAGGAGTAAGTGGCTTCCATGTTCTCACTGCTTTCGCTGGTGCCTGAGGGTGGGGCTCTGTTGTGCAGCACAGTGCCAGGCCAGCCCAGGCTCCACAAGATCCCACTCAGAAGGAAGCAGGCAAGCAGAGGTTCTGGTCCCTGCTACTGCGCTTGGATTCCTGTCTGCCCTGTGGTGGTTCCTCGACTCTGCAGTGGACCTGAGTACCTGCCGACAGTGGTTGGGCACACGGGGCCCCGGCTTCGGTGGTGTCCCTGAGTCCCTGCCGACAGTGGTTGGGCACACGGGACCCCGGCTTCAGTGGTGTCCCTGAGTCCCTGCCCACAGTGGTTGGGCACACGGGGCCCCGGGCACATGCACTTCCCTGAGCTGTGCCCCGCTTCACCTCCTCCTGCCCAGGCTCCAGACCGAGTGTTTTAATCACGTTCTCTCTGCTTGCTTCTGCCCTCAGCCACACGCTGGTACAGACTGTAGCTAGGGGCGTTTTTGAGGTCATTGTAGATCAGTCTGCTTCTGTACCTGAAGAGACTGTGGAAGAGCAGACAACCAGAGTAGGTGACGGTGGTCTCTCTGCCCAAGAGATCCCTGCAAGCAAGCTGGCCTGTAGAAAAGCAGTCAGTGGGAAGAAGGCTGGTGAGAGCGTTTCCTTTTGTGTTCTTTTCTTTCTGGGGGCTTGCTTCGTTGGTTGGCTGGGTTTTGCTTGTTTGTGGGTATTAGTTTTGTCTGTGAGTGTGTACATGTGTGTATACTTTCATGTGAAGGCCCGATGTCAGCATTGGAAATCATTCCTCGGGTTTCCTGACCTCTTATTTTGAGATGAGGTTCATCAACGGGCTGGAAGATGTGAGTCCCGGGGACCCACCTGCTTCTGCCTTCCCGTGCTGAGCTTACAAGCCTGTACTCCCATGCCTGGCTTTTTTTTTTTAATGTGGGTTCTGAGGCTTGAACCCAGGCCCTTGTGCTTGTGTGGTGTGCACTTGCCTGACTGAGCTTCATTGGCATCTCACTGAATATTGCCCTGCCCAGAAAATGAAGCAGGAGACGTAGAGACATGTGCGAGAAGCCCAACACCACTCACACTAGGCCCGACCGATTCTGTCCCTCCAAGGAGCTCGCCTTCTTCCTGAGGTGTTTGGCCTGGGCAGGCCTGTGAGAGCTGCCCTGCAGTTGAGGTCACACACTGGTTTCTATGGCTCCTTTCTGGCGCACAGCTCCCTTCCAGGAGTCTTTAGTTGTTTTGTGGAGGGTGGAGTTGTTCAATATGGGAATGGTACTGGGAATAAAACCTGGAACTTTACATAGAATATTAAAAGACAGGCGTGTTTTTTTGTTTGTTTGTTTAATAGACTAGTTCCATGTGTCTCCCTAGGCAGAAGTTGCTGGTGTTCTGGTTTTATTTTTCTCCCGGGTAGTGGGGTTTGAACCCAGAGCCTGGAGAGACTAAGCCACAGCTGTTCTTGAATGTCAAGATTTTGTCTTTGTCTCTGTGTGTATGTGTTGGCAGCACTGGGCGAATGCCTCGGAGGTGGAGTTGTTGGCGGCAGAGAAAGAGACAGCTGTGCAGCCTTCAAGGATTCGGGGTCACCTCTCCAGGTGGGGGCAGCTTTTGCTTTTTATAGAATGTGGGTTGACTGGGGATGCGTGGCTAGAGAATTAGGGTCAGGGCTCATTAAGCCGTAGAGCCTGAATTGTAAAGTCCTTTATAATCCCTTCTGTAATTAAAGTCACCATTCTTAGAATGAGCATGTTGGGAACAAATTTAAAAGAATGAGGTTTCAGACTTGCATGGGTCACTCAAACACATGGAATCTCATCACATAGGAGGATCTTAAGTCCAAAGCTAGCCTGGGCTACCTGCTAACTTCCTGTTTCAAAAACACAAAAAGGAGTCAAGCATGATGGTACACATCTTTAATCCTAGCACTCAGGAAGCAGAGGTAGACAGATCTCTGTGAGTTTAAGGCTAGCCTGATCTACACAGCAAGCAAGTTCCAGGCGACACACACACACACACACACACACACACACACACACACACACACACACACACACACACACACACACACACACACACACTCACTCACGGCCCCTCACCCCATCTAAAAAAGACGATAACAAGTATATGAGGTGGGATTTTGAAAGGCGCCGATCTTATTTTATAATCATGGTTGTCTGTTTCTTTTTGTGTAGCTGCTAGTGCTGTTTGGGTTTTTTTTTTTTTTTAAGATTTTATTTATTTATTACATATACACCAGATTGAATTGCAGATGGTTGTGAGCCACCATGTGGTTGCTGGGAATTGAACTCAAGACCTCTGGAAGAGCAGTCGGTGCTTTTAACCTCCGAGCCATCTCTCCAGCCCCCGGGGCTTGTTTTTTGTTTTTTTGTTTTTTGTTTTTTTTTTGGTTTTGTTGTTATTATTGTTTGGTTTTTCGAGACAGGGTTTCTCTGTGTAGTTTTGGAGCCTATCCTGGAACCCACTCTGTAGACCAGGCTGGCCTCGAACTCAAAGAGATCTGCCTGCCTATGCCTCCGAAGTGCTAGGATTAAAGGCTTGGGTCACCACACCCACTTCCAGTTGTACTTTTAAAAAGTCAGAGCATTATAGGTGCTAAGATTGGGAACCCAGGAGGAACACAAACAGCTCATTGGACACATTTTGCTCTGCGTGAGACCACAGTCTGGAGAGGACTGCCCCCAAGGACACCTAGAAGACGACTCAGGTGGGCCTGACCTGTTTCACCACCACTCACGTGTCTTGTCTCTTCTTGGTAGTTCGACTATAAGGCTGTTGCTGATCGACTCTTGGAAATAGCCAATTCAAAGAGCACCCCTCCCTTCAACCGGAAGCGGCTTTGCAGACTGATCAGAAAGTAAGCAGTGAGTGAAAGCCCATGGCCATACCACCGTGGACCCGCACTCTCCCTTGTGCTGCTTTTCCCCTTCTTCTTTGTAGATTTATTTTTTTTGTGTGTGTGAGTGTGTGCATGCATGCCCACCCAGATGCTCAGATGCCTGCAGAGGCCAGAAGAGAGTGTGAAGCTTGAGTTGCAGGCAGTTGTGAGACACCTAGTGGGGTGTACCACGAACCAAACTCTTTATCCTTTATCATTTTATTCATTAGCAACCTAGCAAACGTATGAAATAAAGCCCGGGAAAGAGGCAACCCTGCTCATCTCACACAACTGTAGGGTAGTGGTGTCAGGGTACTCCTCCAGTGTCACCTGTTGGCATACCAAGGGGTTCAGTTAGCCACCTTCAGCCTCACCTCCCAGTAGGACCCTAAAGGGTCAGGTAATCTGGTAGTCGGCATCTGTGTCATTAGGACTGGGGTGGTGTGATAGATGATTGGCCAGAAAGCCAGTTGGTGTGTTCTGACTGGCTGTGGGTAACAGCTGTCTGGTCACCTTTGGATTAACAGACACTGGCCTGAGCTTCATCCTTAATGTTATGAATGCTTTTAGAAGGGAGCTAGGGGTGTGGTCCAGTGGGTAACGTACTTGCCACATGTGAGGAAACTTGAGGGCTAAAGTTTGGATCTTCAGTGCCCATGGAAGTTTTGGGCAGGCGTCGGCTCACATCTAACCCCAGCACCCATGAAGTTCCAGGCAGTAAGGTGGCCCATTTGCTTGGGAGGCAGAGATGGAACTCTCAGAGCAAACTAGCTAGACTATTCAAATTGGTAAGCTCTAGATTCAAGTGAGAGACCCAGCTTCTATGTGTAAACTGGAGAGTGGCTCAGGAAGATAACCAATATCAACCTCTGACTCTACAAGCACAGTGTGTTCACATGAGTGTACACACACACACACAGTGGCTTCTAAAGAAAGAATACTCCAAAAGATAGCATTCATAATTTCCCGTGATTTATAGCTGGGTCACTAAAGGTGTGCCAAGGTCTCCACTGTGGATGCTGGAGCTGACATGCCTGCCCTCGCAGCCCAGCCCAACCCCATGCATGTCCTTCCTATCCTGTTGCATAATGAGAACGCTCTGCCAGTCTCCCCTAGATACAAGCAGAGACAAACGAGGAAGACACTGGAGTGCTTGTTTTGTGTGTCAAGAGAGACTCTGTAGCCATGGTGGCCTTTGCAGTGTTGGTGCCTTTGTCCTGGGTTCCTTCCTGACCCATCACGTCCCTGGGTGGAGCTGTCCCTGGCCTCCCCTGTGGAGGAGAGAACAAAGAATGCACATGCAGATTCCTGCTTGTGTCCAGGACCTGTGTCTTGATTGCTCCTAACTCCATGTGTTCCTTTCTTTGCAGGTTCCAGGACCTGTCTGAAGGTGAGAAGAGTTGGACTGTGAGTCAGGGTGTTCGCACCCAATGCACACCCACCAACAGCATCCCTCCCAGATTCTGGGAAGTGGGATAGCGGGCACTCATGGGAAAGTGACGTGTGGGGTGGTCGCCCTCAGCGAGGGTCACCTGGCATACCTAAGGGAATATACCCTGGGATGTGCCACGGGTTCAAGACCCTTTGCACCCACTTTCCATACATCTGGTTCCTCCTATGTGTGAGTAATGTGGTGTTTGAGTTTTTATTGGTGCTTTGTACAGTTTTTAATGGGAAGAGGGAAGACGGAAGAGGTGGTTCAGTGGTTAAGAGCACTGGCTGCCCTTTTAGAGGACCCACATTCAATTCTAGAACTCACATAGAGATCCCATGAGTGCCCTCTTCTGGCATCTGTGGGCACCAGGCATACACATGATATAGGCAGAACACTCAAAGGTTTTGGTTTTGTTTTGTTTGATTAAGCTGGGCTAGGAAGATTATAATCCTTTGTCAAGAGGAAAATCTGGTATGTCAGGAACTTTCATTTCTCTTAGGACACATGTCCCTGGGGTGAGCTGTTGTAAGCTTGGTAAATTTGGGCAGGCCAGTGAGCCAGCTGTCCTGTGCCTTGTGCTCTGGGTGGACCCGAGGTGTATTCTGGCTGTGAGTTCACTTGGAAAAGCAGTTGGTAGCAGAGGTGATGAAGCAGAACTCAGGCTCAGGGCCCTTAGCTGGAGGGTTAGGAAGGAGCCCAGGACCTGGGCTGATGCGCCAGATGAAAAAAGGCCTTGGAAGCTGACCAGTGTCCCTTTGGTACCTGCCAGGCAATAGTGCTCAGCTCGGTTCTGGTGAGGACATTACTGCTGATGAAAATGGTCAAGCCCTCGGTCAAAAAAAGCACAAGAAAAAAAGAAAGAAGCTTTTAGAAAGAGCTGCCTTGGACAGGGAGAAAGGTAAGCTGTGAAGCCGTAGTCTCGGGCCTGAAAGAAAGGCTCACACCCAAGTAGCTCTGGGCCCTTGAAGTCTGGGGACTGGTGAGCCAGTGCTCTCGTGAATCATTGGCATAGCAAAAAATCTCACTGTGTGTTTTGGGATTTGATTTAATTTGGTGTGGTTGGGAGAGGGGAGGTTTGTTTTTTGAAATAGAACCATCTTATGTAGCCCAGGTTTGCCTCAAACTCAGGATCTCCTGCTCCACCTCCAGAGCACTGGGGTCTTATGCAAGCAGCATCATGCTCACAGATTTCCTAGGTCCTGTACAGCCAGTTCTGATTTCGTGTGTGCAGAGGCCTCTGCTATTGGATGGCCCTTAGGTAGCATGGGGAAAGAAATAGGGCTCCAAACACTGTGTCTGTGTGTGTCTTCCGACTTTAAAATTATTGGAAACCAGGGTTGGCCAAGTGACTCAGCAGATAAAGGCACTTACTGCCCACCCTAAGATCAATCCCTAGGGCCTATGTGGAAGAAGGAGATGATGACTGATTCCCACAAGGTGTCCTCTCACCTCCACGTGTGTCTGCATGCACATGCACAACATAAGATAAATATAATTTTGTATTTTAATCATTAGGGGCTGGGGAGATAACTCAGTGGTTAGAAAGCACCATCTACTCTTGCAGAAAACAGGTTCAATTTCCCAGCACCCACGTGTCAGCTTAGAACTGTCAGTAACTCCAGTTCCAGGGAAGCCAACACCTTTTTCTGGCCTCTGCATGCAACGCACATACATATGAAGCACAGTAAAATATGTTTAAAAAATACAGAAGAACAAATAATGACTGAAAACCTCTCACCATTTACCCATTTCTAGTGAGATACACCTGAGGAAGGTTTCTGGTCATAGGAAGAGAGAAGGGGGATCAGTTAACAAAAACTAGCCGAGGTCAGAATCTGTGGTGAAGGTTGTAAGCTCCAGGGACTAGAAGTGGGTTCAGTGGCAGAAAACTTTCTTAGCATGTGTCAAGCCCTAGGTACCGTCCCCAGCACCACAAGAAAGTAGTCTCTGCTGGACTGTATACTCTCAGCACTCAGGAACCTAAGGACTTCTGCATGTTTGACAGGCCAGCTTGGGGTACTGTGACCACAGCCAGACAGGAAGTAACCTAAAGGAGAACGCTTCTGTGGGCTCATGGTCCAGGGTACAGTCAGTCACAGCGGGGAAGGCATGACGGCAGGCACATAAAGCAGCTTACTTCGTCTGAGCAAGCCAGCAAGCAAAGGGGACATGGGAAACTACAGGGACAGGCTGTAAACCTCAAGGACCTCCTCCAACTAGCCCTGTCTCCCAAAGGTTCTTCAGCCTCCTCAGATAGGGGGCCAAGTGTCCAAATGCATGTGCCTAGTGTGTGTGAGCAGGCCAGGGACTGACACTAGCTGTCTTCCTCCACTGTGGCAGAAGCTCTCGTTGCCCTGGCACTCTGTGACTTGGCAAGGCTGACTGGCCATCGAGCTTCAGGGACCCATCTGTCCTGCTGTGGACACACACCATCCCCAGCACTTGGGTCACAGATACATGCCACCACACTTAGCTTTTTATGTGGGTGCTGTGGGTCCAAACTCAAGCCCTCGTACCTCGACAGCAAGTACTTTACCTACTGAATCATCCGCCCAGCCCGCCAGTGGGATTTTACTTCCATCCCCTAACAACTCAGTGGTGAGACCCTGTGCCTATAAAGGAGTCTGCTGTGATGCAGTACACTTGTATTCCTCTCACCTGTGAGAGGTAGTCATGATGACCAGAGTTTCCTAGAGCAGCCTTGGCTGTACAGCAAGTTTGAGGCGAGTCTGGGCTACATGAGATCCTATCTTATAAAACAAAGCAAAAACCACCCTGGCTGTCCGTCTTCCCAAGAGTCACCAGCAGGGCCCACTCACTGGTCTGCATCTCTATAGGAAACACGGCCTCTCTTGATGGTGAGGAGGACAGCGGAGGCAACGTTCACAAGAGAAAAAGGAGAAAGAAGAAGAGGAACCACTTGCAGACTGAGACTCAGGACCTGGATGTTGTTACCATGCCCCCAGCACAGGATGCTGACAGCCAGTCTGATGCTGCCGAGAGGCAGAGCCCACAGGCGTGTGTGACAGAGCCTGAAGCGGAGGCCGTGTCTGGCATCAGGGAGAACAGCTCTGAGCCAGCACCCATCTCACCCACACACAATAAAAGGAAACGGCCGAGGAAGAAGAACCTGAGGGTCCACAGAGAGATCTGGAAATCCACCGCTTTACCTCAGGAGGATGTGTCAGAGAATGACCCTACCGGTGGGCATCCTCAGAGCGCTGCTGCCCCAGTGTCTTCCTCAGAAGGTGTCCAAGCCCAGAAGAGGAAACGGAAACTCGGAGCTCTCCCTGTCAACAGTGGTGGCTTGACTGTGCAAAAGGCAGGCACCCCAACAAGCGCAGGGGAAGAGAAAGATGACCAGACCGCCCTGCCCCAGTGTAAGAGGCCACAGAAGACAGTGTCCAGCAGTCTTGACCTCTATGATCTGTCTAGTCAGAAGACAGCAATCTTAAAAAAGAGGAAAAAAATGAAGCAGATGTCAGACTTAGTGGAGCACAACGGAGTGTTGGAGTCCAGCGCCAGGCGGATCCAAGCTCTGGTAAGGCGGGAAGTGGCCGGAGCTTGGGTGCTGGGCTTGAATAGATGTGCTCAGAGGACTCTACTGTCTGCTAGGGCTAGGGTATGGGGACAGCCAGATCTCAGAGAAGAACAGTCAGAATGCGCTGCCTTGTAACAGCCCTCACCAAGCAAATGACAAGTTCCTATCTAGGTGGCCAGGTACAGGTGCTGTACTCAGCACCACACTCTCCGCCTCTTCCCTCACAGACCTGATGTCTCATTGAGTCAGGCAAGGGTGAGCACGTAGCTAAGAAACTGTCAGAGTCAAACGTCTGCACAGAGCTGCTCTCTCTGCTCTCCCTCTGCTCACCTCCACTTCCCCTGTGGCAAAGAGGAAGCCTGCAGCTCTCACGTTTCCAGGGTGCTCGCTCTCTCTCTCTCTCTCTCTCTCTCTCTCTCTCTCTCTCTCTCTCTCTCTCTCTCTCTCTCTCTCTCTCTCTCTCTCTCTTCTCCTCTCCCCTCTCCCCTCTCCCCTCTCTCTCTGTCTCTGGACTTCTAGAGCTGTAAAGGGGGACCCAGGTGTTCATTTTTACCGTGTCTAAGGAAGCATGCTACCTCTGGCCCAGTCAGCCCTTGTGGCAAGCACACCACACCATGTGCTCGTTGCTGTGGCCACCAAGCCATCAAAATAGTGACTCCCTGGCTTTACAGGGAGCACCTGGCCCCTGTTCAGCACCAGTGCTTTGCAGTGCCTGTGACATTGGCTCCATCTCTGAGCAGGTGAGCTCGTGGGCAGTAAAGGGTTACTGAAGGAGAGCAGAGCACTGGGCTGGCCTCGGGACATCTCTCAGCCTCCAGCCTTGCTCTGGCAGGGGCACCTCCGTGTCATAGAGTGTTTCTCGTGCCCTGGGAATCGGGATGGTTGCTAACTAGTTGGGGTCAAGGGAGGTCGCTGCTGTCTGCTCCTGGGCTAGGGTTACCTTGGGGCATGCAGGAAAGCATTATGCTTCAGCAAGGGAGGCAGGGAGCTCCAGACAGACCGACAGCCTACATGGTGTTTCCACGCTCGGCTTCCCAGCTGTGGGGACCCTCAGCCATGTGGCAGCCTCGTCCTCCACATCACACTTGCAGCCTACACAGTATCTGATCACAAACAGGAAAATGGGTTCTCGCTTAACAGGTGAGCCTTGAATGATTCAACTGTTTGTAGGACCTGACTTAGAACATAGTTACCAAAAAAAGCAGGTCTTAGTGCTGAGAGGACATGGTGATCTCTGCTGCATGGTTCCAGGAAGTGGTCTGTGCTCCGCTGCGGGGGGGGGGGGGGGTCTGGCAGAGCTGACACAACGAACTGGGCTGAGGGGTTAGGGTACATCAGCCTCCCGCACTTCCTTGCTATGCTGTCCTGGTTTCTTTCCCTGTGGGTGTGAGCCTGGCAGGTGCCTGTGATACGATTCTCCTTCCTCCCGGCCTCTCATCCTCACAGGGAAGCAACAGGCCTTTGAAAAAGCCACTGACGACAGAGGATGACTTTGTGAAGTTTGACACCCACTTCTTACCAAAGCCCCTGTTCTTCAGGAAGGCAAAGAGTAGCTCTGCCATGCATCCCCGCGGTCCTGCTGTCCAGGTGAGCCCCCACAGCACCCTTCCACAGGGACACGAGGTTAGGCTGCCTCGTCTAGACACCTGCACCTGGGTGTACAGGTAGAGTAAAGTAGCCACAAACTGAAGAAAGAGGCACGAGGTTCTAGGAAGGACTCAGCTAGAGTCCTACAGTGCAAGATGGATTGACTTCTAGGAACATTTCAAGTAGTAGAAAGGCTCATCGTTAATTCTGGTAGATTGTTGGGATGTCTAGATTATTTAGAGTCCTCTGTACAAAACTGTTTTGGTCTGTGGTGGGGTCCCAGTGGTAAAGCATTTGCTCAGCACATGTCACAGCCTTGGGTGTTAGCTCCAGCAAAGATTTTAAATGCATCTTCATTACCCATTGAAATTAGACCCCATTTTAACCCTTATCTAATCAATTGTATGTGAGCTACAAGTTACAGCTTAGAAATTCTGGGCCTGCTGGATGGCTTGGCTGGATTGCCACCCAAGTCTCACAAGCTGAGTTTAATCCCCAGAGCCCAAGGTGGAAGGAGAGGGCTGACTTCTGAAAGCTGTCCTCAGACAGACACACACACACACACACACACACACAGAGTACATACCAATAACATAACCTTTTTTTTAAATTCTGGGACAAAAATTGAATGTCATTAACATACCCTTATAATTTGGGGTGATAAATTTGGAATTCCAAGCATCCTTATCCTTTCCACTGGGACTGTAGTGCCCGGTTTGGGAAATCTGTGCATTTGTAAAAGTGGTTTGTGAAGGTCATGGGCAGAAGTCTGGTAATGGAGTCTATTTAGGCCACAGCATGCCGCCCCATTAGCCTTTGTATATGTGCAGATCAGGAAACAGACTGCAAGGGCCTTCCCCGGGTAAGTTCTTCAGGAAAATCCCAGACAAGGAGTCTGAGCACCTGTGTTACCATGGTTACTCCTCTGTTGTTCTGCAGCTGAATAAAACACCCTCCAGCTCCAAGAAAGTCACCTTTGGATTGAACAGAAACATGACTGCAGGTGAGTCGGGTGGGCTTCTGAGAAAATCCATTGGGACCACCTCGCTGGAGCGGACTCAGGGTTCTCTGGCAGCCAGGGATCCTCTTCTCCCTGTCTATTCCTGGGTCAGCCAGTTAGGCAGTGCCAATGTCTCTAGCCTCACAGGTGTCTCTGTGTGGTTTCAGCTGTCCTGGAGCTCTTTATGTAGACTGTGCTGGCCTCAAACTCACAGAGATCCCTCTGCCTCTCCAGTGTTGGGATTAAAGATAAAGAGAGATTTCAGAAGGCCCCCAGGAAAAGGGTGAGGTGAGAGGTCATTTGTCCAGGTCTCCTCTAGTTCTGTTCCAGAGGCTTAAGAAACCCTGGTTCCTTAGCTCTAACTGCCGAGACTATAGTTTAGGGCCACCGGTGTACCAGAAGGGAGAGGAAGGAAGCCCTCTCCTTACTGGTGTGGTAGTGGTGCCACCCACTAAGTAGTGTGGCCGTTGTTACTCTTACTTTAAAGAAACCAAAGGACTCTTGTAAGGAGGTGGTTGGTTTGGTTTTTGAGACAGGGTCTTGTGTGGCTCTAGCTGACCTGGAACTCACAGAGATCCACCACCTCTGCCTCCAAGTGCTGAGATTAAAGGTGTGTCCCACCACGCCCCACTGGTTGTAAGTTTAATGAGCTTAAGACCTTATTCGTGTGGACAGTAAGTGAACATGTACGTGCACACCTTTGTTTGCACTTGAGCAGACATGTGTTTGGAAAGCAGAGGGTGCAGGAAGGAGTGAGGAGCATATACCTCAAGCTAAACATCCTGATCTATAGAGCTGGAGGTTAAGACAGGTCCTGCTGAGGGACGCTATCCCGGGCAGCTGGCTGTCACTCCTGCCTCCGCGTACACTTCATCCTACAGCAAACTCGGGTGAAATTTGTTCCCCTCGCTGTACCTAGGTGTCTTCTGCATGGGGCAAACAGGAAAGTGAGCCGTGAGCCCTGCGCACCCAGAAGGAACAGAAGTGACATGTAACTAATGGCCTTTACTTTCCTTTGGACAGAATTTAGGAAGACCGACAAGAGTATCCTGGTCAGCCCCACAGGCCTCTCGAGAGTGGCCTTTAACCCTGAGCAGAGGCCACTCCACGGCGTGCTGAAGACCCCAACCAGCTCCCCCGCCAGCACTCCTCTGTCAGCCATGAAGCTCCCAGCCACCACGCCAAAGCGAAGGCCAAGGGCTGCAGACTTCTTCTGAGAGCCAGAGCCCCTTTTTAAAGACTGCTTTTATACTGGATATTCTATAAGTTATAACTTTTAAATGTGGGCTTTTAATTACTTTACAAATCCCCGTGGGCGGGGCAAATGTTCTGAACATGAGCTGCGGTCCCCATCCCTCCTTGCTGGGGGTGCAGACCATGGTTCCTGTCTGAGTCCGTGCACACGCTCACAGGACAGAGTGCTGTTGGCGTGTGGAGCCCCTCCTCCATGCCCATTCTGCACCTGCCACAGTCGGTTGCCTTTCTGGTTACATGTAGTCTCGGTCTGTCCCCATGTGGAAGCATGTCAGCTCAGGCCGCTCTGTGGGCACATGGCTGTTTCTCCTAGTGATGACTCTTGAAAACGAATGAGCAATAGTGTAGCTTTTCTACGTGTGACCAGCAGGGGGGTGGACAGGTGTGGGGTGGAGAAAAGCCACTGTCCATGAGGCTTTCTCTCCTCTGCCCGGCCTGTCCCTGTCCCTGTCTTCCTACCTCTACAGCAAGCCCAAAGTGTCTTTTCAGGAGGGCCAGTGCCCCCCAGGCTGCTGCCCACATCAGCACAGTTTCCCAGGCCTCGGGCATAGATCTTAAACTCAGTGAGTGTGCCCAGGGCCTCTCTTTTTCTCCCATCGAGGCTTGTACCAGTGTTGTCTGGACCCCAGGCTCTTGGCAGAACAGGAAGTTGGCCTCCCAAGAGTGTGTGCACTGGCAGCCATTGTTACCTAGAACACAAGCACCTGTGTCCACACAGGTTCTCTACAGCTGTCCGAGCTTGCCTTAGTGCAAAGCCCAGGGAGACACTCAGACTTCAGTGAAACAAATCTGACTTCTTGAGAGCAAAGCCTGCTCCACAGCTGGAGGAAACTGCCTTGGGTCTGAGGGGTGGGGTGCCCTCAGGAAGGAGCACAGCGGGAGGTCCAGATCCTCCTGGTCTGCAGGCTTGACTGGCAGGGCCTAGGCCCTGGCTCTCAGGCACTCGAGGCACTGTCAGCTTGCCTACTGTGCTCAGAGTATCCCCGGGACCTCCTCCTTGGTGCACCCTGGTGCAGAAACTATTCTCACACTGCTGCTTCCCAGGGGAGGAGGACTGCAGGGCACTAGCTACTGTGGGGCCTGCAGAGTTGGTACATCTGCCTCCGGCTTCACTCCTTCACTGCCGAGGGGTCCACTTCCTACCGTTCGACCAACTGACTCATGAATGACATTCCTGATAGGAGTGCAGTGACTTTTCTTTGGCCTGCTCAATGACAAAGTGTATCATTGGGCCATATTTTGTTATTGTCACAATAGGTTATGTGCAGTGTAACTTGTGGTTGCATGGTTACAGTGTGCTGAGTTTGACAGTTATATTCAAAACTGAAACCTGTGTAAAAAGGTTAAGGCAGCAAATGCTGTTAGCTCTTCACTTAAAATTTTCAACATGTCTGACAGTTTTCCGTTTTAAAGATAGGTTAATACAGCCAAGTGGGTCATATGGTCCAATGGTGTGGAACAAGACACCAGGCAGCAGTGGTAGAAACTTCCTCACAGCATTTTTATGCTAGCTACCCATCCTGAGGGACCAGTGAATATCCTGGAAGCACACCTCCTGCCTAAAAGACTCCCAGGCGGAGGGCAACCTGTGAATGCTGGGTATACAGTGAGCACTGCCATGTGAGGCCAGGGTTTTGGGTTTTATTTCTTGTGTACACAGCACGGGAAGGATGTACCATGTGAAGGAGCACATTTAGAAAGCATCTTTGTCCTTGCAGCACGTTATTTTCTCAAGTGAAACTGGTGGTAGACTTGGAAATCTAGAGAAGCTGGCCTCGGTGCTGCGGACCTAAGTAGCATTTGCAAAGACGCCAGTCTTAGTGATGTGGACGTGGTCATTCTTGCAGTTTAGTTTCAGGCTTCCTTTTTTCTCTTCCTCCCGCCCCTCAAGGTCTCATTGTGTATCCCATAGGGCCCCACACTGGTGGTCATCCTGCCTCAGCCTCCCTAAGTGCTGGGACACAATCTCCTTTCTGAACTGAAGCACGAGAAGGAGTGGGAGGGGCCAGGGAGCAGTTGCCTCCCTGGGAAGTGGGTCAGTGTCTTCTCTGGACTGCGTGACTGCCCGAAGTGTTGTTTGTTTATGATCAAATTGTATTGGTGTCCCTGGAGCTTGTTGGGACAAAAATCAAAGCCAAGACCAATTAAAAGAAGTATGTTTTTATCCTCAGATTTGTCTGTTTGCATAGTGTCTATAAAAAGTACACCTCTCTGGAAACCACTGCAATGCCAGGGTCTGGAAATCCCAGGCTCCCTTCTTGTTGGAAAAGAGAACATAGCAAGTACCTGTCCCTTTTTCCCCAGAGCTAGTGGACTTGCTCAGGCATGGCAGGTGGTTGCTGCAGTCCTGTAACAGCTGACTGCCTTCACTGTGACTAGAGGCCTGGGTACAACTCCCCAACTCCACCCCAGTAAGAAAACACAATCCAGATGTGGTGAGATCAAAACTCCATTAAAGTCAGCCAGACAGAAGTGACATGGGTTGGGGGGAGTGTCCAGACTGGTTATCAGACTACCTCAGAAAGGAGTGGGGAGGATGGAGATTGGAAGACTCCTCCATAAGACAAAATACTCAGAAAACCAGGAGCCATTCATATGACAACATCCATTTAGACTTGGCATTGGCATGGTAGTACCTGCCTTTGTTCCCAGAGCTTGTCAGGCAGAGGCAGACCTGAATTCAAGGCCAGCCTGGTCTACAAAGCAAGTCCCAGAACTGTTAAATGAAGAAACCCTCCCTGTCTTGAAAAACCAAAAACATTCAGGGAAAAAAAATTTAAGCTCTTGGCTAGGTTGTAGCTAGTCTGTGGGCAGTCATGAGTTTAATTATCAAACACCCCTGCCCCAACACACAGACTCCCAAGAGTTTTGTGATTGTGCATCTTGAGGTGAGCATGAGACACTCCCTTAGTCAGACTCAGCCTGATCTGTATAGAAGGGAGGAACAGGTAAGGAAGGACCCTCCGTGGAGTAAGGTAGGGCACACATTTTGCCATGCTCTGTGTTGACCCTTCTGTAGAGTGACGGGAACTTTGTGTGCCCAGACTGCAGTGTGACTCCAGGAGACCACAGACCAAATAGTGTATCCCTCAGTCCCAAAGCGGGTCCTCTTTAGCCAGGAAGTAGTACTTGGCTCAACCACTGCTTTACCTTAGGACATTCCCTGGTGGCTTGGGTTGGTTTTGTCAGAGTCCCCCTATATAATCCAAGCAGTCTTCAAACTCGGATCCTTGTGTGAGTCTCCAAAGTTTGGCAATGATAGTCATTGATCAAGACACCTAGACATAACCGTTTGTGGAGTCTAACTGACTTTATAGCCCACTTCATGGACTCTGGCAGCCCTGGGGTGGGTCCAGCATGGTCATGACCTTTCTGTGGCAAATGCCTTGCCAATGGGCTGGTTACCATGGTGCCTCCAGCCTTGGCCTACCAGCTTTCTCAGGAAGGTAGCCTAGAAAAGACCTTTACTTTCAACTTTAGGTAAGGGAAGCTGCCTGCCCCCAACACACACACACACACACACACACACACACACACACACACACACACAGAGAGAGAGAGAGAGAGAGCACATCCCAACAAGGCATCATTCCCACCCAGGTCCTGCAGCTTGTCAAGCAGAGTATGTCAACAGACCTCTCTCTCTCTCTCTCTGTCTCTCTCTCTCTGTCTCTCTCTGTCTCTCTCTCTCTCTCTCTCTCTCTCTCTCTCTCTCTCTCTCTGTCTCTCTGTCTCTCTCTCTCTCTCTCCTCTCTTGCAGCCATGAGACTGGTTTGCACAGTTGATAGACAGAGCCTTGGAAGGAATTTTATTATTTTACTGACTTCCCGACTAAATACCGTGCCTCCATAAATAAACTCTGAGCCAAGCCAGAGGCTGTCCTGGAACTCACTCTGTAGACTAGGTTTTAATTTTTTTTTAAACAGGATTTTGCTACGTAGCCAAGGTTGGAACTCATAGTGATCCTTCTGCCTCTGTCTCTCAAGTGTGCCACCACTAGCAGGTTCATGACTTCCTTATCTGTGACTATCAAGGTTCATGGACCCTTCTCCATGGAGGGTAAATATGTCATTAAGAGTAACTTGAAACATGATCCTGGACCATGGGCATTCATACTTGGCTCACAATAAACTATATCCTTTCTTCCTTTTCTTTTTGAATTTCAGGGACAATTATAGTTTGAAAAAGCAAACAAACAAAAAGATTGATCTATAACGCTGTAATGCGTTTTCTTAGTTAGTGATTGATGTGGGAGAGCACAGCTCATTGTGGATAGGGCCATCCCTTGACAGGTAGTCCTGGGTGCTCTAAGAACGCAGGCTGAGCAAGCCATGGGGAGCAAACCAGTAAGCAGCACCCTCCATTGCCTCTGCATCAGCTCCTGTCTCCAGGATCCTGCCTTAACTTCCCTCAAAGATGAACTTTGGTGTGGAACTGTAAGCTAAATTAAGCCCTTCCTCCCCAAGTTGCTTTTGGTCATTGTGTCTTGGCACAGCAACAGGAACCCAAACTAAAAGGGGGAAAGTTCTGACTTGGAAAAGTTGACAGGCCACATGGTAGAGACCCCATAAACAGCAGCATGCCTCACTTATTCACTTACCCGTTTCTTGTTTGTTTGATCGTTCTTTTGTTTCTTGAGACAGGGTCTCTCTACATGGCTCTGGCTATACTGAAACTCACTAGGTAGACCAGGCTAGTCTCAAACTCACAGACATTCACCTGCCTCTGCCTCCTGAGTGCTTGGATCAAAGGCGTGTGCCACCACACCCAGCCTGCCTCTTTTTTTTTTAACTCATACCCTAAGTGAAGAGCATTGTCCATTTCCCTGGTCCTCATAGACTAGTAGCCATATCGCAACACAAAAATCCATTTGGTTCAACTTAAAAGGCCCATAGTCTATAACAGTCTCAAACGTATTTAAAAGTCTAAATTTCAAAGTCTGTTCTGAGATTTGTACAATCTCTTAACTGTAATCCCCTTGTCAGGGACCTCTGGCCATCAACCAGGTACGGCTGCCTCACGTACTCATAAGAAAAGACCCTCATAGAAAGTACATGACTCCAGACCACCCTGCTACCTGCCAAATTCCAGAAACAGACCTGCGGCTTATCTAGGGCGTAGGCTCAAACAATAGAAGGTGGATTGTGAAAGATAAAGTTAGAGTCTGCAGTTAGGTTACCAGAGGACACAGGATGCCCTACCCATCCCACTGACCTTCCACTGCTCATCGCAGCTACAGCACACCCCCCATTCCTTCCCCTCCTCCCTTCCCCTATATAAATCCCTTTGGGATGAATAAAGTTATCGCCTTGATCAGACTCTTGTCTTGGCGTCCATCTTTGTATCCCCTGCCCCCCATCTTTTCCCTAGGTGTCCACCAGACCCACGATGAGTGTCCCCTGACAATCAAAAATCAAAAAGCATATCACATACTTCTAACATATGGTGGTACAGGATAGAAGGGGAAGGCAGGTGGGAGAAGAGGACCCCAGCCTTTGTAGTCAGGCAGCCAGACTTGTGGATTGCTAGGCATCATGAGACTATCACAAGGTCTAGCCATATACTGCCCCTGGGCACAACAACTAGGGACAACATCTCCCTCGTTACTGGCTGGACACTTCAGAATACATGTACTGGTCCAGGCACCAACTTGAACTCCCTGAAGGTAGTGAGCTTGGAGCCAGCCTCCCTTCCTCTCTACGGGAGACGTTGAGTTGGGTGAGATTGACTTTGAGCCTCTGTGGGATGTAAGATTCAGGTCCCAGGAGGGGGAGATGACCAAGTCAAGACTCTGCCCTATCCCACCTTTTCTCAGACTGTAGCCCATGAAGAGCGGCCTCCAAAGATGCCCATATCCTGAACCTGCAGAAACGGTGCCAAGAGGTGCCATGACCAAGAGGTTATAACGATGGGATTAAACTGATCTCAAGAGCTAGGTGATCCTGGGTTGCTGAGTGGTCCAGTGTCATACATTAGGAGGAGGGCCCCAAGCCAAGGATGCTTCAGCCTTATACATGGAAAAGGTGGACTCTTCAGCCTGGCACCTTCAGAAAGAGCCAGCGCTGACACCCCATTTGTATACATCTTGCCTCCATGGCTTTAAATAAACAAAGGTGGCCTGTCATGGGAAGCAGTGCAGCGATCACAGGACACTTGTCACCAGTTTATGTCTCTGCTCTGTCCCTGTCAGCCTCCTGCATGGCCTGCATCCTCTCTGGCAATGATTGACCAAATGGGGACTCAGGGATCTAAACCCAGCCCCTCCCTTGCCTTCAGGACAACTGCTGAACTGCTCCATGCTTTACACCTAAGGGCACTGGTGAGCTATGGTCATGGTCCCAAGCTTCTGCACTCAGTGTCACTGTTAAAGGTCAAGGAGCCAGGTGGCACCAGAGTTCACTAACAACTGAGATGTTGGACTTTCTCCAATGACTATCTTCAGAATCTTTCATGGAGCAGCAGGACAGGTCTTCTGTCTCTAAGCTCCCACCCCAGAATCCTGCTGGAAGCCTCAGGACTGGCCCTAAGGCATCAGACAGACCCCCAGGAAAGGAGAGACTGAAGGGTGAGCTGGGTGCCACCACAGTGGGACCAAGGACACACTTTCCTTTGATGGATATTTTACATGCCACCCATTTGATCAGGAACCCCAAGGGGCAGGCTAGGGAGAAATAATCACACAAACAACTGCAATGAAAATATTTATTTGTGGATAATCAAAGAGGTCAACAGACCAGCACAAAACAGACACAACTACACAGTGCTGACAGGTGCTAAAGTCTACAGACGCATTGACAAGGGACAGTACACGGGGCTGGACGACTTGGACCAGAGACCACCTAAGCCCAGAGCACCTGCCTCCTGTACAGCAGGGGCTGTGGGCCAGCTGTGCTTTACTCTTAACGGTTAGGAGCCTCCAAAAAGTTGAGGTCTCTGGGCAAGAATAGTATGACCAACCGGTCGTTTTGCATGCCTTTAAGCCCAGCACTTGGGAGGCAGAGGCAGGCAGATCTCTGTGAGTTCGAGAACAGCCTCCAAAACAATACAGAGAAACCCTGTCTCATTAAAAAAAAAAAAAAAGAAAGAATAGTAGGTCAGGCTGGCCCCAGAGGTGCAGCCTGTCTTCTGATTGGTCCAGGTTTGCAAAACACGGTGAAACTCTGACAAGGT